AATAAAACTTTTTAGCTATATATAAGTACTTAAAAATATTAATATTAAATTAATATTATTAAGCATTATTTTATAATTTATATAAATTACTTAATAATCCTTGCCTTTTTTAAATAATTTAATATTATTAACTTTATTATAGCTTTAATAAATAATAAAAGATTAATTCATGCCTTTAAATATATTAACGCTTTTAAAATTAATTTATTATATAAATTAAGAAGAAAGAATATTATATTAAATATATTATTATATATATTATTACTAAATGTATTATTATTAATTAAAGATAATAAATTAAATATTTTCTTAAATAATTAAGATAAATATTAATTATTTTTCTTAGAAATATGCTTAATGGCCCTTATAATATTTTTAAAATTAAATTTATAAAATAAAAATATATATATTAAAATATTTCTTAATTTTTATAAGCATTTTTAAGATAGCTATTAAATAAACCCTTAATAAGCAAGAATTTTAAATATAATATAATGAAATGATGCTTTTTATAAGAATAAAGCCGTTTTTTTATTTAAAATCCGCTTTAACCTTATTTAAAAAATATTAAATAAAGATAAAACTCTTTATTTTTATATTTTTTAATTATATATAATTAAAATCTTAAAATTTGCTTATATAAATAATTATTATGGTTATGCTTAATTTAGTAAATTTCTTCAGCCTTTTTATATTAAAAGATTGCATTTTAAGTTATATAAATTTACTTATTGCTACCTTAATTATTAAGTTTTTAATATTAAAAGATATAAAGCTTATAAGAGCTTATAATTATTGCTTAGCTTATTATATTTATATTATTAAATTATAATAAACTTTATTTTTAAACTTCCCTTAATAAAAAGCTATAATTATATTTTCTTAATAATTTATAAATTCTTAAAGAATTTATTGCTAATGCTTAGAAAATTAATATAAAAAGTTATAAAATAAGCCTTTTTTTTATTATAATATTTACTTTAAAATAATTAAGGTTATTTAAAAGTTATCTTTTTAAATTAAGATTTTAAATTCCTATTAAGCATTTAATTATTAATATAGAAATTATTTAAAATAAAGCTGCTTTATATAATTATATATTATTTATAAATTAATAATTAATTAAAAAGAATAATATAAATTATTAAATTTATGCTTTGCTACTTTATTTATAGTTTTAATAATTTATAAAAATAATTAAATACTTTGCTATAAATATAATTTAAATATTATAATATTAAATCTTAAGTAATTAAGATTTTCTTAAATAAAATTATTAAAAGCTTTACTTTAAATAATATTTTAAATATTATTATAAATTAAGTGCTTTATTAATTGCTAAATTTTCCTTAAAGCTATATTTATATATATAACGCCTTAATACTTATAATAATAATAATAAAAGCATACTTTAATAAATAATATTTTATATAATTCTTTAAAGTTAAAATATAAGTATTACTTTAATTATATAAAGAATATAAAATTTTATAAAATATTAGCTATAAATATAAATTATAATATGCAAGCTTTTTTAAAGTTATAAAAAGGATTAGCCATTTTATATATTAACTTAATTTTTTATATATATAAAAGTTAAAGCATAATATTATTTTTATTAATTACCTTAAGCTATATTCTTTAAATTTATTTAATTAAGATATACCTTAAATTAAATTTATTTAAATTAAAGATTATATAAAATGCATAATTAATTAATAATACTTAAAATTAAAGGATATAAAATATTTTATTAAATATATTAAATTAAGACTTAAATTTTAAGAATAAATAACTAATGCAGTACCCCCTGAAGCCTAGCGTAGTAGGCCTTTATTAAGCTCTTAATAAGCCTGCAAAAGAGCCCCTTAGGCAACTAATAGGTCCCTCTCCCTTTTAACACAGCGGAAGATTTCGCAACTGCATTAAATAATAGCTATAACTATCCGTTTACATTAAAAGAAGCGGGACCGTACCTAGAAACTTACTATGTAATTAGTTTAGCACCGCATTAGCAATGCAAGAGCCCTAGGTTTAATCCCTAGCTATGGTGCATAGTTAATTTAATATAAAAAGACCTAGCTATAAGGAGGCCTGTAATAAAATATAAGCTATAGGGGGCAACCCCTTAAAAGGCGCGCTATATAGCTTAATCGCGGATAATTTCTTAGTTATTTTACGGGAGGCATTTAATGCAGTACCCCCTGAAGCCTAGCGTAGTAGGCCTTTATTAAGCTCTTAATAAGCCTGCAAAAGAGCCCCTTAGGCAACCAGTGGGTCCCTCTCCCTTTTGGCGCAGCGGAAGATTTCGCAACTGCATTAATAACTTTATTATAATTAAAACTTAATATATAATTACTACTTAATAAATTTACTTATAAATAATTATTTATTATAAACTTAATATAATAATTACTATTAATAATTACTATTAATAACTATTATTAATAACTATTATTAATAACTATTATTAATAATTATTATAATGATTTATAATAATATTTACTTAAAAACTTTAAATAAAAAAATAGGATAAATATAGCATTACTTAAAGCATAATTTTAATTCTTTTTTAAGAATTATAAACTTCTTTTTTCTTTTTATTTTTTTATTTATCTTTATTTAATAAAAGATATACTTAAAATAGCTTTATAATTTAAGCTTATTATTAGTAATAATAATAAAAGGAAATAAAAGTAAAAAGCTATTTAAAAATAAACTTAAATAACATAAATTTAAAGTAAATTATTAAGCTATAAATCTTTTTTAAAATTTAAAGCCTTAAATTAAAAATATTAATAATATTATATATTAAGATAATTAAGTTAATTTAATAATTACTATAAAAAACTTATATATTATATTATAAATAATTTTTAATTTTAATAATATTAAAATTAATAAACTTAATAAAGCTATAAATTTTCTTATCCTTATTTACTTAATATAAAAATAAGAATATAATAAAAAGCTTTTATAATTTATTAAAAGATATAAAAAGAAAAAATATAAGTAATAAATATATATTTATAATAAATTATAAGATATTATTAATAAAAAATTTAATTAATATCTTTTTTATATAAATATAAAAATACATTAATTAATTAAAAAAGCCTTAATTTTATTATATTTTTTATAATATTTATTTAATATAATAAATTATAATATTTTTTCTTTTTAAGCTAAATCTTAATTTAAATTTAAAAGATTTTTAAATAAAAGTAATTTTAATAAAAATGCTAAAGCTATTAAATTTATATATAATAAAATTAAAGAAAACCTACTTAAAAAACTACTTTTCTTTAATAATTACTCTTTTAATAAGAATTTTAATATCTTTATTATATTATTTTAAATTAAAAAATATAATTTATTAAACAAAATTAATTAAAAAAAATTTAATATAATGCTTATAGCAAGTTTATAATATAATTTAAAAAAGATAAAGTTTAATATATTTTTATAACTTATTATATCTTTAATTAATAATATAATAATTTATTAATTTATATTACTTTTCTTGCTTATAATAAAATATATTAATATTTATTTATATTTTCTATTAATAATGCCCTTATTTTTAATAAAATAATAAAAGTATAAGTAATATAAAATAAAAAATATTAAATTTATTATTAAAGTTAATAAATAATAAGCTTAAATTATAAAATTATAATTAAAAAATATTAAATTAAAAATTTAATAAAACTTATTTTAAATATAGCTTAATCTTAATATTATATATATTATTAACTTAAAAAAATAATTAATTAAAAAAAATAAATAAATTAATATTTTAAAAAATAATTATTATATCTTATTTATTAAAATAATTATAAATAAATTTAATGCCTTTTTTATTATTTAAAATATTATAAATATTATTATTAAATTATTTAATAATAAATATACTTTTAAATTAAAACTTTTTATAAATAATTTTAAATTAAATAAAAATATAAAAGTAATTAATTATAAGGAATATAATAAATTATAAGATAAATTTTAAAATAATTTAAATAATTTAAAGAATAAAAATAAAAATTATAAAAAAGATAAAGATAATTTAAGCTTAATACTTTGCTTAAAAGATAAAATATAAGATAATTAATTTATTAAATATACTTTTTAACATTATTTATTAACTGCAAGGGCGCTGCTATTTTTTAAAGGGGGTAGATTGTAAGGAAGGAGCATTGCATAAACCCCTTATGGGTATTAATAGGTAGTCCTTGGCCCCTTGGCCCTTTGGCATAAACTTAGATAGAACTATAACTAGAAACCGAATACAACCCTCTTATTGCAGAACCCCCTGATAGAGGCGCTTCGTGATCTAGGTGAATAGCACAACGATGATCACTGGTCGTGGTCCCACCGTCAGCAAAAGAGTCCCCGCACATGCAGCGCGAGGCACCGCATGCAGCTCCATGCTTCTGGCCATGTAGTAACTCTTGAACATGCCAAATGTTCCCCTGTCCGAGAGGACCTAATTGGCTACGAGGATTGCGAGGTCTTTCTTACCAAGAATTATTACTGGAAGAACATCTAGAGAATAGTGGGGACTCCCCAGAATTGCTAGTTATTTGTACACTCCCCAGCCAGATTGTATGATAATGTTACCTCGCCTGAAATGGTAATGGCTATATGTACTTACGTGGGCACAAATGGGACCCTAGGGGGTCGTATGATGGACACCAACCACCATTTTAATCGGTAGCACTACATAGATTATGCATTCCCCTCCCATCGCATTAGAAATACGGCCATAGTAGCTCCCGAAGGAAATGGTTGACATGACCGTTGGCATCCGCACCCGCACACATCCCACATTTTGTGTTCGTCAACACTGGTGCCCTCTTGGGACACTTTCCCCCTACACTTGCTCCTTCAGTGACACGGACTCCAATGTTCCTCTGCCATATACACACATATAATCAGCAATAGCCACCCTTGTACTTTGTCTTACGCGCATAGTACATTAAGCCAGAATAACGACGATGGCCGGTGTCGCCCCCGGAAAGACCTTCACTCCAGGTTTGGACTTCAGCGGGCAGTCATACAGCAACCTCGCGAGGAAAGTCGAAGCCGATGTCTCACGCGCAAATGAGATTATCAAGGAGAAGCTCCCACTTCTTGGTGAGCTCAAGGCTCTGCTTCAGATCAGCTTTGGGGACAACCCGCCCTTTTTCATCGACGCACGATCTGGCACCGCGTCTATCCTTGCTTCGACCAAGGACGAGCCTGACACGAAGCTAAACATCAAGCCTGAGTACATTGCACAGTTCTACGACGGCAAGCTTGAGCCACGATACGGGCTTTTCAAAGATGCGTTCTTCAACCAGGCATCCATGCCCTCGGGGAGCATCCCCGTGGCTATCAAGTTTGCCGATCTGGTGACTCCGAACCCTCCTGTGCCGCCGAAGCATGCTGATGCATTCGTCAGGCTGCCAAAGCCAACTGAGGACATCGAGCAGGTCAAGCGAGATATCAAGGAGTTCGGATACGGTCTTGTCAAGAGCGTCCTGACGCCCGAACAGTGCGCCATCATGAAGAAGGCCGTACAGGAACAGGCCGCAGGCGAGCGTGAAGCGGGCATCGCGCAGATGGACGGCGGCCCCCAGGGCCCGAACCGTAAGAACCATTCTCCTCCTGCTACGGAACCTCGTCTTTCACGTTTTGGAATGTTCTAGAATGCAACACTTTAGCATCCGTAGCAAGACTAATGCCACCATCAGAGCGGCTCTGGACTCTGGTGAACAAGGGCGAGGACTTCTTGGACCTGCTCAACCACCCCATCATCGACGAGATGATACCGTGGTTCCTGGGCGAGCACGCCATCATCACGACGTACACGGCCAACATTGCGCGGCCGGGCAACCTGCCCATGCAGCTGCACACGGACCAGGTGGCCGTGCAGCCGCCGATCCGCGACCGTAAGTACCGTTCTTCTCCTGCTACGGGTCCCCGTCTTTCATGTTTTGAAATGTTCCGGAGTACAACACTTTGGGCTCCGTAGCAGGGCTAATGTGATGCTTAGTGGCCTTTGGCATGAACATCATGTTCTACCTGGAGGACGTGACCGAGAAGAACGGCGGGACGCGCGTGTACCCGGGGTCTCACCTGGGGCAGGTCGCGCCGCCAGACATCTTCACGGTAGAGGGGACGGCGGCGGCGGCAGCACCGGCCGGGTCGGCGCTCGTGTTCGAGAGCCGGCTGTGGCACGCGACGGGGCCGAACCGCGAAGCCGCCGGCGAGCGCCCCGTCATCCTGCTCTTCTTCATGCGCTCCTTCATCCGGCAGCAGGAGAACAACTTCCTGTCGCTGCGCAAGGACGTCTGGCCCAAGCTGTCCGACCGCGTCAAGCGCATGCTGGGCTTCTACACAACGGGCGCGCTCGGCGGCGTCGACGGCGAGGTGAGGGAGGGCCTCTTTGTCGAGTGGAAGGAAGGAGTCGGCAAAATGCGCGCGCCCCATAAGGGGTAGAGTTTAGTATGTCGACATGTGCAGTGGAGCTATATTACATTTGTGGGTAGAATGAAAATCGCATTAACTAGGGATGATAGCTTATCCTATAAATGCAGCATGTTTAAATAGTTGGTGCCGAGTTGACATATTATTAACATATTTGTAGACGTGACGGAAGACGGTGTCGCAAAGCGATACGAGACCTGCGAGACTCGCGGCGAGGGATAAAGGGTCTGCCATTGGGACGGGTCGCCGCTTGGGCTCATCTGGGAAGTGTTTTTGGGTATTCTACCGGTATGGTGCCAAAAGGAATACCGCTATGTCAGGAAAGCTTCTTCAGTATCTGTGCAGTGCAATGTTCGAAGTGGGTCGCTCGGGGCAGAGTACGACGCAAACGAAAGGGTGGTTGTATCACCGCCCAGCAGGTCTGAGTGACTGTGCGCGGATACGCGGACAGTTGAAAGGAAAAGTTGGGGAAACTAGAGCTTGTGTTATACAGGCTCCCTCAATCCAAGCGGAACGTTAAGATGGAGGTTGGGCTTTTATGCAAGCTGAATCAATAGTGGAGGCTGTGCCCTCTGTGGTAACCGGTGTGGGTAAAGAGCCTGCTGTGTTCCCTGACTAGAAGGGAATGCCCAATCAGAAGAGAACTCTCGAGTGGTGATGCACAGGTTCGTGGCGTCAGCATCTGCGCCTCCCCACCAATGTTGTTGCGCATCCGCATACAATAGTGACACAGGCTTTCTGTTATAGAAAAAAAGCTCATCCATGTGAAGATCAATTTCGCTGTCGTGTAGTCAAGACTGTAGCCTTTGAACAGATTGTATTTATTGTAGGCGTGCTAACCCTAACCCTAGTCCACACCAAGCAGCCCGAAGTAAGTTAACAAGGAAAACAGAAAGCAGTTAAATATGACCTGATCGTGCAGTTACAATGAGCGTTCACAAATTTTCCCGTAAATTATGGCTACTCGCATATAGCATCAGTCGGCACGTGCAAGCGCGATGGCAGCAAGATGCTTGATTGTCCGAATCCGCATCCCAACTTGTTAGCCCCAGTATCCCAGTGCGACAAGAACACCCTGGTCACTTGAGACCGTGATCCGGGGATATCTTTAATGATTTGCGGCCTTGGACAGGTTCCCGCCCCAGGTTTTACGTGTTCCTGGACATGACCGGGCTACACCTTTCCCACATATCATAGGTGTCGAGCTTTTACTCCTAACCGATTGAATTTGAATTAAGTATGCGCCCCGCTACCTCGGGAAGAGAGTTTTGGAGTGTCACTTTCATTCGAAAACCGTGAAAGAGACCGCGGGAGCGTGTGGCTGCCAACGACATTCACTTAAATCTTTCAGGATTATCAGCATTCCAAGCAGGCCTGCGTCCATCACGCATATTTGGAGCTCTCCAAATTGTATGACATAGTGTTAATAGGTCTTGCTGATACGTTGACTTCACTCCCGCGTAAAACATGCTCGATGTATATATCGAATTGTATGGTGTCCACGTTCAGCAGACGACAGGCCCGCCGTGATCTTGGACGCCCGTTTGATGAACATTCTGTTAGTCTATTATTCACTTCTTGTGTTTTTCAGAGCAGTGCCTCTGACGCTCCGAGACGCTGGCCCCCTTCCACAATTGGTTAAACGAGCGTTATTATTCCATCATAAAGGCTGAAGATCTACCCTAGCACACAATCTGAGACAACAGAAATGACTCTGGCAAACGCTCCACCCTTACCCAACTGCCAACCCCCCATACCATGGTATTGAACCGCGAGAGCTCTTCCCCTATGCGCCGCCCGTCCTTGCAGATTCTCACTGGAATAATGGTTGATCAGGCCACTCTCCTGTAATAGTACAAACTGGTCAGCTTGAGTCACTTGAAAGACATGCGGGTTTTTCGAGAGCGAGACGCTCAAGGGAAGGGGGTGAACACCCACCAGTAAGTCCGTGATTCAAGGACAGTACATCTCGCACTGCTTTAGCAGATACAGTGGGCGTTGCTGTGGTCGTCGCTGATCTGGCAGCAGGTCCTGCTGCTGCACTGGGCGGACAGGACCCAGTTGCCAGACGAGTTGCAGACGTAGACGGCACCGTCGGGACCCTGGACGCCGTTCTGGTTGCCGCAGCCCCACTCGCCGGGGGTGCAAGCGAGGGAGGAGGTGGCCAGAAGGCCGACGGCGATGAGGACACGAGTGAAGTACATTTTGAAGTTTTTTGGAGGAGGATTGGTGTTTTTGTTGTTGGTTTTGATGTGAAGCAAGTCTCAGATGGTTGATTGATGAGTTGAGGAATGAGTCGATGGGAAAACTAGACGTGGACGAGGCACGGCTTTTATATTGTTTGTGCTCAACCCCAGAAGGCGCATTATTCTCACATCGTCTGATGGACCCTCCGGTGTGTTGGGTTCTCGGACTACAACCAGACTCGTGGGCTCGTCATTGTCTTGGGTTTGCTGACCGCTCACTCAACGTCGGATGTCGGTGAGGACGGAGTAGACAACCACATCTACAATGCAATGCCTCTCAATGGATTTCTCAACTCGGGTTGGACATTTTTCTTACTGGTACACTATTGGTGTGACGTATACCAACTAAGCAACCAACTGAGTAAGGTACATTGGGCAACTCTACCCTTTTCGGCACACATAGTCCATATCTGGATATGTCTTACACACCACAATCCGCCAATTCCGCACTTACCGTCCCGCGATGAGTAGAACACCATGTAAGCGCCGGCTTTTGAAAAGGTCCCGGAAATCGCTGACAGGTCTGAATAGCGTTAGCGGTGTTGCACGAGCTGAGTTTTGAGGCTCAGTAAGATGGCATTGTGGGGAAGAGCGCTCACGGTGCCGCCTGCCTCTAGCCCCCAAACACATAAAAGTGCAAGGCTTCCAAAGGCTATGCAGTCAGGTGCTATGCCAATATTACCACCCATCTTGTCGTTGGATTCCTCACATACTCCCGGATGCGTCGCTGAGATGAGACGAGCGAATCAAACGGTGATAGCGCCGGGGTTCATCAGCTTCTCAGCTGTGAACACCCGCGATTCTTTGGTGTCGTACTGGGAATAAGCGCTGCTGAGGAATATAAAACTCTGTGTCATACGTGTTCCTGATGATGTCACAGTATACTCTGTTGGCCTTCTTGGACCCCCGAAGAGGCTGCATCACTGAATGCCGAGACTTGGGAGTCTGAAGCCTCGGTGCTTACAACATGAAATCTTCGGAAGCAGCGGCATATTGCGAGTTAAATGTAGTCCGATGGTTCATGGTCGCCGAATATCCATAGACAGTATTGGTATGCCGTGGTTGGAGGCCGCCCAGCTGATGATGGAGGTGCGGTCGAGACAGCCGTCCCCAACCGCTGCACTCTTGTGGTCCTTGACATGCCACGAAGACTCGCCTCGCCTTGGACAACATTCAGGGAGAACAGGCAGAGTCGCAAAATACGCCGCCTGGGTCTGGGACATCTTCCAAATTCGAACAGAAGCTCCAACTTTCATAAGCTGCCACTGCTGTGCTTCCTGATTCAAAGAACAGACTCACTGGTCCCAGGCTACGATTACGACCCTTTACTGCGGAACTCATTTTTCAACTATAAGGACCTGTCGCTCGCTAAAGACCAAGCGCAGCTGATTGAGAAAATTGCCCAACAACCTATCTAAGACAGGGCAACGCTGATGTCGCTCATTCGATTTTAGCAGGTGAATCTCCTGATAAGTATCACTACACGAAAGGCAACCCTGTTTCTGGAATATTCTTCGTTTGCTTTTTTTCCCTGGACATTTGCTTAGGCACTAATAACCCGATTTCATGTTGTGAGAACGATTTGGGCATCACCAAAATCCTACCTGTGTCCCCCCGTTATCCGGTTCAGGGTGCACATCGGACTTGCCCCGCCATGTGCGAGTTGAGGTTGTTTTAGGTTTGAAACTAAGTCTCACATGGAGCGGTCTGCATCTTGCCTTCTGATCCAGCCTGTCCGACGAAGAAATACCAAGGTGGTGGAGGAGGGAACCCAATATCGTATGACAACCTGGCTGTCCTGGTTCTGAGCGCTGCGTATCCTTGATAGCATTTCGGTCAATAATTTTGATGGACTCGGCATTCTCAAAGGACCGACCGTCACAGCCTTCATTGATTGATTGCAAGGAGTGCCACTGAGAAAGTGAATGCGAGAGGCACTTCCAGGCACCGTGCGAATACGGGGGTCAAAAAGGCAAATAGGGTTTCAGTGAAATATGCTCTCCCCACTTGCTACGTAGCTGTTAACCTCGATGCCCGCCCTTAATCTTCTTGGCCCCAAGCTTCCGAGTGCTCTAAAAAGGCTCACCGAGGACAACCGCACGTGCTTTCCTCGTTTTCCATCGTTCATAAGTGTTAGCATGATTGTCCCTATCTAGATACTTGATGTTGACATAGAAATCGAATTACCGCGCGGTTTTTTCACAATCAGTGTCGAGGATATTCAGGAATCGATCTTCCCGAAATGTGGCCAATATGGATCCTGTTGCTCTTCGCAGGGCCCGTGTTCCGCCTGATCAGCAGCATCTTCTCCTTCGCTCAACACTATCGCGCTGCGAAGAAGAAGGGAATACCCATCGTCAGCAGCCCGGTCAATAGCAGAAGCCTTCCTTGGCTTGTGCTGTCGCCCCTGCTTGGACCACTATTGCTCAAGTTGCCGTTTGGATTGGGGTCGTGGGTGCGATGATTGCGAAGTCCGACGAGATGCGCCAGGAGAAGCTAGCCGAACCATCCCGTGCGGGCGGCGAGTCCGGGAAAATGGACGCCGGTGTGGGAGGAGGTCTGTCCGATGATGAGATCTTTGCAAACATGTTCGACTACGATATCGCAGGCCACGAAACTACTGCCCACAGCTTGAACTACTGTTTTCACATACTCAAGTCTCGGTCGAACCGGAATTGCAGGGCTGGATCCAAGAGGAGGTGGACCACGTCTACGGCACCTCCGCACTGCATTCGTCGACCCTCGAGTGTGAGCAGTACTTCTACAGACTCAAGCATTGCCTGGCGTTCATGGTATGTTTTCTCTCTGTGGGTCATGAAGCTGTCATACGCTCTGTTTGGGACGGCTATGGTTGACTGTGATACTGGTCCGCTAATCTGTTGACCATCCAGTGCGAGATGTTGCGCCTCTACAGTCCAAGTCGAAATGGAAAAAGACGTGCTGGGTGAAGGTCAGACTTTGCGTGTGGATGGCGGTACGATCTTCGTCCCCAAAGGTTCTGAAATCCACATGTCCAACCTCGCTGTGCACATGCTGCCTGAGTACTGGGGCGCGGACAGCGAGGAATTCCGCCCAACGCGCTGGATCCGGTCCTCCCCAATCTCGTCCGAGTCGGCCAACTCCTCTGACAGCGAAATAAAAAGCGGCAAATTAGGCAGCATCCTTGATTCGTAGGAGGTCGCGCCGCTACCTGTTGCCAAGGAGTTGTTCTTCCCGTGGTCGCTGGGGGCGCGCAACTGTCCCGGCAAGAAGTTTGCCCAGGTCGAGTTCGTGGCCGTCATGTCATACGTGTTGCGATTGTACAGAGTGGAGGCGATTCCGCTCAAGGGCGAAAGCCCGGAAGACACCCGAAAACGGATCTGGGACTGGACACAGGAGAGCAAGGCGTAGGTCACGATAAACTTCCGGGAACCTGAGAAGTATGCCCTGAGGTTGGTAAGCTGGTAGTAAGCACATAGATGGACCTCGCCTCGTTGTAGCACGTTTTCTCCAGGGATCGACGGCTTTTTAATATTCAATGATATAGGAAAAATCTTTAGAAGCTGGGTCTCCTGTCTTTTGCAAGTGTGGTTTCTGTTGCGAGAAAAATTTGGAACACTCAGGAGTAAAGTATGTATCCTAGAATGTATAGAGCAATCGGGCTTTCGAGACACTGTATGCATTGTTTTCATGTCCTCAGGCATCATACCTCTTGAGCGATTTTGGCAACAGTGAGGGAGGTAACTGATAGAAAATCGAAGATGGTAGTATATTATCCGTATCAAAAGGCCTGCCAAGCTATCAGGAGGTCGGTACAGACCACTAGAGGCCCCAGTCCCTAATCCACTTGAGAAGCCATTCATCTTTCACTGGATCGAGCCCAAGCATGACTTTGCTTGACGTCTTCGCCTGTTCCGTAGAGAAGGCAATCCCGTTGGCTACTGTGACTCCTTGTCTGTCTCCAACGCCCCTGAAGAAGTCCAATATCTTCACGGCTGGCTTTGATACCACCTCGTCCTTGTTAGTCAGATCCGTCTGCTCGAGATCGGAAATCCAGTCTGCCATGGAGACATCTTGCAAAGGCTCGCTTCCTCCCAGCCCGGCCTTGATGGCTGACAACATCTCAGCCCATGGCCTGCGCGCTGGATTGACCAGGTGGAAAATGTGCAACAGCCCAGCCTCGTCAACGAGAGATTTAGATATCGAACTCAATTCCCAAATGACAGATGAGAGCAAGTCGACCGGAATCCAATCAATATCTCCCAGCGCATGCGCATCCGGGATCTTCCTCGTCGTCTTGGCGGTCTTCAGCATGATGGGGAACCACTCAGTCTCATTCCACTTGGCGCCGTTCCCCGGCAAGACAGGGCCAGCGATCTGCCCGACCCTAAGGATCGAGACGTCAATCCCGCTCTTCTCGGCAGCAGCAGCAAGTATGTGCTCAGCGACAGCCTTGGACTCCGAGTACCCCGTAGCCTGGGCGGCGGCAAGCGTCGGCGGCAGCGCCTCGGGAATGGTACTGGCCGCCGGCTCGAGCACAGGCCAATCGCCGACCGAGGAGATGGAGGACACAAAGACGACCCGCGGGCGCCTAGGGCTGCTGGCGCTGAAGTCAATGAGGTTTCGGACGCCGCGGACGTGGGTTTCCTCGAAGGTGTCGAGGGAGTGGTTGAAGTCCACTTTCCAGGCGTTGTGGATGATGACGTTGGTCGTCTCGCGGAGGTCGGATAGGATCGTAGGCTCAAGCCCGAAATCAGCGCTCTTGTAGTCCGCGTGGTGGAACGAGACACGCGACGAATCCATGTCAGGGGCAGGCGACCATGTTTCGAGAGCCTTTGTTATGCGCTGCGCGGCCTCGGGGGATCGATCCAGGCAGGTAACATGGACCACCCGGGCGTCAGAAAGGAGCTTGAGTAGCAGCTGTGTTCCCAGAGAACCTGTGGAGCCGGTTAAGATGACATGGAGCTTGGCCATCGGTCCGGATAGCCCTTCACCCTGACCCGGGGCCGGCGGAAGATCGTTGGTGTATTTTTCGAGCATTTCGTTCATCTTCTGGACCCGGTTCTGGAGTAAATCACCATTGGCTTTATTATTGGAGGCAAGAATACCTCCCTCGGAACTGGCTAGAGTAATAGCATGAGCCAGCTCAGCAATAGTTGGATGCTGGTAGACGTATCTCAAAGAGATCCAGGATATGTCAGCCGTCTTGTCTTTTGAACGTATACCAGTCTTCAGGAGCTTTATTATCTCCATGGTCTGCAAGGAGTCGAGACCCAATCCGAAGAGATCATCGGTCGGCTGCGCAACGTGGCCGGGGAAAGCAGACGCAACGACTTCGACGACGAACTTGGTCACCACTTCCAAATCGACCGTCGAGGTGAGACTGATATGTTCAAGATTATTTGAAATTTCGCGCTTGTACAATTCGTCGATGTGCTCTTGGTATTGGCGACTGGTTGTAGCTCTGACCACGGTGCCCTTCGGAGACCTATTAAAAGGCCGCGATGGGGAGGAAATCAGAATCATATCCCGCGTGATCCTGCCTTGTCCAGGCGCCTGAGAATTTGCTTTCTCGACGGTTGGCCAGACCGCATCCACGAGATGCTCAGGGGTATGTTGCGGGTCCTTTGGTTCCAAGATGAGGCATGGTTGCGGATGACCTTGTCCGATGATCAGGGCACCATTGACCAGCGGGTGAGCTGATATCTGGACTTCACTGGGAACGGGGTTGAACTTCTCTCCGTTCGACAAAACAACAATGTCATCGAGACGCCCGTGGAATTTCCACAAGCCTGGGTTGGTGGGGTTTCGTTGGAAGAGGTCTTTCGTGTGCCACACCTCCTCATCCGGGAAGTTGGCCGACAGGCTGCGGACGCTCACTAGATTCGGATTTCGCCGCATGGTCATCTCGTAGATCTGGTCTTCGTAAGGTTCCATCATGACTTCCTGCACGGGGTGCCACTCGAGACTGGCCCAGTCTTCCCGCTTGGGCACCAAGGCCTGAATAGGGCCAGTCTCGGTTGACCCGTAGAATTGGCACACGTCGGTGACTTTGCTCAATGCATCGCCAGCAGTCTGAGAGAGAGGGCCACCAGCGTAGAGCAGAAATTTGAGGGTCCTGCATTTTTCAATGCCGTCCGGTTCTTGGATCAGCTGCTCTGCAACGATGGGGGGACAGAAGATGGACTTCAGCTTGAAATGGTCCATGATCTCGCTGACCAAATGGCCTGTTGGAGGGCGAGATGGAGGGCTCAGCACCAGCTTTGCGTTTTGGTAATAAATTGGCAGCATAATCATGGAGGAAAAGCCCGCGAGGTGGAATGCCGGGAACGGCGAGAAGAACGTCTCCTGTTGCGGAAAGTCCCACAGTGACCAGTTCTGATTCACCCGACCAGGGACAGTGGTTAGGCTTCGGTCGTGGTCTCCCACGGCAAACGTTGCGTGGTTCATCACAATAGGTTTTGGCGCCCCAGTCGAGCCCGAAGAGTGAAGAATGAGGATTGGATCCCACTTCGCCTCATCGTACTCCTTGTTCCAGGCAAAATGCTGTGTTCCCGGTCTGACCATGTCGTCGAGGGTTTTAATCTTCTCTAGGTTCAAATCCGACTTGTGCTCCAGTAAAGGGGTGACCAGGCCTTCTACCTCCTTCGTGTAGAGGAAATGGCGGCATTGAGTCTGCTCCAGTAGAGATGCATTCATCCAGGCAGAGTTCCTTGGCGAGGTAAGCAGGACCTGAGAGAGAACGGTCAGCGTGCGCTTTCCACGTCACAGGGCAGGAGCACTTGCTTACCTTGTACCCGCATTTTACCGCAGCAAGAAACACGACCACGTAGCGAAGATCTCCCGGTCCCATGTAGGCAATTGTCTCGAACGAAGTGCTCGTGCCCAAGTTCTGTTGGATCCAGGCGGCCAGGTAATTCGTAGCTGTGGCAACATCAGAGAAGCTCACAGCTCTGAAACCGTCCCCCACGTTGCTACTGACAGGCACATAAGCATAGGGGAGGTGAGGACGACTCTTTGCTGTCTCATCAACGACTGTGGGCAAGAGACGAGAGCCGTACCGAGCCATGGTGAGGATCCAGGCTGTGATACTCTGATAGAATTATAAAGATAGAAAACCACTTGTTTCGTGACTTCAATTGGTCATAGTGAAATCCAAGGAAGACGATCTAAGCATGAAGGGTTGTCGAATTGTTGCACGAAAGATTGGGTCTAGCAAATACGCGACTGTTGAGATTCGAATTGTGCGTATGGGTAAGTTTGACTGGAGAAGGAGCCCTGGGCACCTTTTTAAAAAGCATACGTTCGTAGTACGTACCCTCCAGTCACTGTGTCCTCCATTCACTGCCATACGAGTACTGGAGTGTGTGACGGGTGTATTTGCGTACAGTGGCTATCTCACTTTTGTGACTCGGACTCATCGAGTTGGAACTACCCACTGTCTTCTCCACGCGGGGTATGGCGGCGGACGATCCACACGATTTTAAGGAGGATGGCTACAGGATGCAGTTGGCCAATCTTGGAAGGCTGATCCACTTCTGGACGCTGCATGTTGGTCACATCTGGCTCCATAGTTTTACTGTTGGTCGTGTAGTCTTCATCATAGTTGGTAGGCACTGCCGCTACCGCCTGATTGATCAAATTTGACTGGCCAGCGGCAGTAGTTAGAGGCTGACAATCCATGCATTGCAAAGGCGTAATGTGACCCTGTGTTGCCGGACCTTGGTCTTGTTCAGGACCTTTCATGCGATCATCCCTGCCGAGACTATGCAAACGTCGTATACAGTCATCCTGCGCCACAGAACGGGGATGCTGCCAACGCCTACATAAGCACTACCCTAATAAGCACTAAGACCGTGATCCGCAAGCGGCAGATGCCATCGCCGACGACCAACGGCGCCGTTCAACGGCTCAACGGCTCTTAGCCCACTTATCCGTCACCTCCTCTCAGATCCTAGATCTGCACCTTCGTGAAGATGATGTCGCCCAGCAACGTGGACCATCGAAATCCCTTGATTGCCAACTCGGAGCCGCATGTTACGACGCAAAAGATCCCAACATGGACCCACAACCAGATCTCACTCAAGTGGGCTTCCCGCCGTCTCATTGTGAAACTCGACAAGACGTACTCACTCTCGATTGTCACAGAGCCCATTGCGTTCACTGCGCCTTTTGATGTCCAATACCCGTCTCTGATCAAGACATCATTTTAGAGCTAGTCAGAGGAGAAAAGTTCCGCACGGGCAGTGTCGATTGCATCCTCGCCCAAGGTTATGCAACACAACCAACAAATGTGACACAACCTGCAGCTCAAGTCAGAATGTGTTCAAAGGTGACTCTTGCTGTGGGTAGCAGTCAGTACGTTCTGTTTATCCACACCACAAAGGGGGGAAAACACAAAAGCTCTTTCCAATGGAGCACGTGGATTCTTTACACCTATTGAGGTGTTTATTGCATCCCACAGTACAGCTGGCTGTATGGTGGGATATTGCATATAATGATTCCCGGCTTACCTAATGCATGCAATGAGAACATTCAAGTAAGAAAATCTTTGAACGGCTCGTTTCACACCCAGACGGCTATGGATTCGCCATTCAACTTGGGACCCAATTACCCTTCGGCAGGGATTCAGGGTATTGCGACTCGAATACCCTGCCAAAGAAATTGAAATAACCTAGCAAAGTCATGTACTTGAAGCCGTTTATATCGAGTCACCATATCACGAATATAGGATAGCCAGTGCACTGCGCACTGGCAGCTGCTTTTGCGAGTCACACACCACCATTGAAATTGGAATCTAACGCGGGCGACTCTGGGGAGAATTCTATTACACTACATAAGGACAGGTTTCTCACAACTGAGGAAATGTTAGTGTGTCTACGATGTGCTCGTCTAGTTGTGCTCACCCATGTCATCCCAGGTGAGGTTCTCCCTAAGAACATTATTCGAGAGGAGGTTGCCTAGCCGAGAAATTCCTCATCCCCGAGGACGCCCAGAGGACGGTCCAAAAGCAGATTGGCCAGTCGAGGTTATGCAATGGATAATCATCATAGAGACTGGTAGGTAAATCTGGATCAATCATTGCAACGATATGAGGCAGGAATCTTCTACCGCAGTATGCAAGCCTGTCCGAATAGTCAGCCTACCAGGTGGGTGCAGAGTGGGCGAACTGATATTCCCCTCATACTACCTACCCCTCTTCCCCGGCCTACAGGAAAGACGATCAGCTGTTGGTAGTACGCGCTATCCTGACAATACAATTTGCTTCTACTGCGGGGAATCTCTGCTTATGCTTGCATAGAATGAGGAGCACCACGAGGCGGAAGGTGCTCGATTCATATGAAGACTTCCAGAGGATCATAAACGGCACGGTCTATGACGCTGTCTCGGCTACGGTGGACGAGCGAACATCATTGGAGGAGGCGATCGACTACGCGAACAATGCGGTAGGTTACGAGTCACTTGCGTATCCTACACTCAGTCTTTAACCCGTTCAATATAGGCCCTGCGTGCCGTAGAACAATGGTCCTTCCTCTGGGTGCAGAACCTAGGTGTCTTCGACGCAACTAAGGAGGAAGAGCTCGTCAAGTTCGCCAAGAACCAAACACTCCGCGACGGGTGGTGCTCCTTTGCAACGGCAGCCCAGGAGAACGGCGTGAAGCTCAACGTTGTCAGTCTCAACTGGTCGCCTTCATGGATCCGGCTCGTCCTGCAGCATGCGAGCGAGTGCCCTGAGGCCGTCGAAAACATCGAAACATACTGTCCTGAGATACTTCCTGAGAACACCCTCCCGGCTACAGGGCTTGATCATGACACACAGCTGTTTTCGGGTGGTGATAAGACGAGTCTGATAGAGAGCCTTTTGAGGACTGTGTCCGATGAGGTACGGAATGTGGTCTTCGTGTCGGATGGTGATGCGGACCTGCAGCCACTGTGGGAAGGACCTACCAATATTGGCATTGTTGCTGGATTTAACGGGAGCGCGGCAGAGAGCTTTCAGACGTATGGGGTAGACATTGCTGATGCGAGTCTTGGTTGGCGAGGACACACGGGTATTGGAAGTGGAAACAGTTCTTTTGTCTATGGATTTGCGGATTGGAAAGATGTTGGGAAGCTTCTCTGGGACTGAGTGTTTAGTCTGATGTCTAATTTGCACTGTTCGCCAGCGTTGGCGTTCAATAGTGATAATATCGTCGAAGCAAAAGAAATCCAAAGGATGACTGATTCTGAAAGACAAAGATCGGTGAGAAAATGGGTGAAAATTTAAATACAGAGTAGCACTCAAGAAAAAGAAAACGTCTAGGTAATGTTTTCAAGAACAAGTCCCTCTTCAGTGGTACACGCTCAAAGACCCAGCATTAGATAAAGAAAAACAATACCAATAACAGTAGCTCAGAAATACGATAATCTGGACAGCCTTGTGACAGCCGCGCAGACAAGGCTAGCGAGAACTGCTTCTGGCGGCGCCATAGACCGTCGACACAAGTGACCCAAGAGTGTAATAGAATGGGGGCTCACCACGAATTTGCGGCAGACTGGTGCGACCCTAGTCATGTGCTTGGCTTCCTACCCGTCGTTCCTGTGTCTGCAACCAGGCCGTGAGTTTTGCATGCTGGATCCCGCTCTGTGTGCTTCATCAAATCAATGTCTCATTTGCACCGCTCTCCGCAGATATATTCCAAAGAAAACATGGAGCAATCTTTCATTGTGTGCTTGGGAAAAGTAAGGCTGAAAACATGTACTTTTCCGTCTATTTTTTGAGCACAGCCTCGCCGGTAGATACTAAGGAGTTGTACGATGAATGCTAGTCGTATGGACTGCCTAGGTAACTAATACCATGTGGCAGAACCATGATGCCACCAGCCCTGCTAATACGCCATGACCTTACAAACCGGGCGAATCGCAAAAGAAAGCGCATTTCAGAATCAACATTGAGCCGTTAATGGTTTCATGATTCTGTAAGGATGGCATGGTGCATGAAAAACTGTCCGTCGCACGCCCTGGCTGCTCGGCGCAAGGATTGAAGTGATAGTGGGATTATCACGAATTTTGAATGAGCGTTTGAATGAGCTGCACTACAAAGGGATTCGTGTTGTTTAAACCGAGCAAATTAACCCCGGATGATTGGAGGGTTGCGTAAGGGAATGGCCTGGAGCCACACCTGGTTCTGCCTCGAGGAAATACCTGTCTATAGTAAGGCGGTTTTTGGAGCACATTTAAGTGACTGGATACATCACTGATGGGTTATGGGACACTAATACCTAGGTATGTTCCAAGATTACTGACCACTTCCCCCTTATAATGCAATGCCAAGCGGGTAGAGAATGGCTGGGATTTGGTTTGCAATCTTACTATTCATGTATGTAAGCTTCCGTTAGCATGAAGAGCGCTCAGCTTTCATGCTGTCACTGGGAACAGTCCTCACGAACCGAGCCGGACTTTATATCTCAAAGACTATTTCCACTGTCTCTAATGGACCGTACAATTTGAATCGATCCCGAGGGCATATCTGTCTTGGAGTAAGCCCCTAGTCATGAAGATGGAGATCTGGGAGTGATCAGGGCAGAGAAGAACTCAAAAATAACGCTATGCAGTGCTCAATCTTGCCCAACTTTGGCGAGCGCATAGGGAATTCTTCAACTGGGCCAAACTCACAGTTCTCGAAACCGAAGAATCATGTGTACTCCCTACTTAGGTATTGTCGCCCCAAGTCTTCAGAGCCAGTACGGCAGAGGAATCGACGCGACAATTCCTTCGCTACTACGCCTGGCTCCGTGAAGAACAGCCTCGCCATTTTTTCCAAGCTGCATGGATAGGCCACATACCTAATTACGTCCGCTGACAGAGTTCGTCTCCAACTGTTCTTTCCAAGTACCCCGAGCGTTCAAGACATGTTAATTGATATCTCGGCAGGTCGCGCGTGTGTGCTCTCGCAGAGCGTTGACTAATCCGCAGAGGGTAATTCTTGCCTCTACTCCTTGCTTTCTGGGCCAGTGTAAGTCGCCCTTTCTGTTCGATCTCTGCTCAGATCAAGGGTCTTACTTCCCGGCCCAACTGGTCGTAATTCTTTCCATCCCAGATTTAAACAGCCAGGAAGGAACTACCGCCCCTGCAGCTGTACATAGAATGAATTCTGTCTGTCAACTGTTTGCCTTTTCTCTTCTTCTTGATATCGCCAACCCAGCAGCAGCAGCAGCATCAATGTGAGTTATCCATTTCCCAAATTTCTGTGCCTGTCCATCAATCCCGGACTGCAACTCTGGTCGTGTCCATCACATCGGCTGCTCGCGAGACACACTCTCCTGAGCCCACCACATCAGCACCGTGGTATTCAACACACCACGAGAAATCGATTCCCGGTCACCACAACCAAGGATCTCATCATTTCCCTGTCTGGCACGGGGCCGAATCGTGGGACACCCGACCTCAGCCCATTGCACCATAGCCAGGGCATTCAACATACCACGGGACAAAGTGTTGACGAGCAACAAGCTTTGAATGATTCCGCAGTACAATCCATGGCTTAGGCTGATATTTGCAGGGTCCCTCGCCCTTCTCGACGCCGCCTCCCTCCCCTCGCCCGCGAGGCCCTCGCTGTCGGCCGCCGCGCCCGCGCCGCCCGACACAACGCCCTCGTCTTGTCGGCAGCTCGCCGCCGTGCCCTCCTCCGCGCCCGCCGCCGTGCGGTCCGTGCGGTGTTCGCCGCCCGCACTGCCGCCGTCGACGCCGCTCGCACTGCGGGCATCGATGCGCCCTAGGATCCTCGCGCCGCCGCCCGTTGTGTGGGTGCCCTCGCCGCCCTCAAGGCGATCGACCTGGGTTGGGGGTTTTGCCCATAAATGGTACGCATACATTTCTTTCGTTGCAATCACAGTCACACAGCACATCCACGGCACAGTAGATAGGTAGATAGGCCTGAGAAGCATTCTCCAGCGAGCTTTGTGGAGGCGCCGTCAAGTGCGGTCCAGAACGCATGGTCGGGCACCTCTTCGCGGTGTTCTGGACAAGTAAGGCTTCCATCAGCATAGTCTGAAACTAAGACCCGACCACTTCTTCATTTCCTTTTTGTTCGCATCGTGATGGTGTAATGCTTCGAATGGTTTGGGGGTGGACGTTGGGCGTCTCGGCCGTGATCTTTGCTTCTCGTCCTGTACAATAACAATCAGAGTACTCGTCAAGAATTTCCTTTTGAGTGCAGAAATTGGTCACAGTTAGTAATATGTGCTTGTGGTTTTCGCATGCTCGTAGATATTTGGTGCGAGCAGATAAAATCAGAACACCCATGGCACTTGTTCTTCCAACAGTATGTCAGCTGTATTCGGTCTATTCCCAGACCCAGTGTGATATGTGCTTATGTCAAGGGAGCAAAAATATCTATGACGCTGTATTGCAGACCCAAATTTGACATGCTGAGAAACGGAGTAGGGGTTGCTGACCGAGTTATAACCATCGCTTATGATGATAATATACATGTAGGACGGATTATCGAGTGTATCGGTCAACAATACATATACTACACCAGGCTCGGGGAGCTCCCTAACTACCAGCCATGTGCTGCCTTTGCCGGATAGTTTGTTGGGCATTAGTCTTGGGCTCCTTGTGTCGAGGCTCCTAGTCTACGGCGCCGCTGGCCGATGGTCTCGCTAGCCTCGTGTGTCCGGCGTGCCTAGCGTGTCCGCAGTCTCATGCTGTCAGTCATATAAAGCCACTGTGCTCTCCGAAAATTTCAAAATCATCCACCTTTACTATCTCTCTTCTCGCGATTTTCTCACCGGCTACATCGATCAATCTATACACCTTTCTCATTATGGATTCAACGACGACACACTGGGATCATTGGCCCGCTCCGGCCCGTCTCTCTCTCCTCCAGGCCTTACTCAAGAACGGCTGCAGCCTTGCTAAACTCGCAACAGTTTCGCGAGAGTGGCAAAAGGTTATCGAGCAGCACAACTTCGCCAGAATCAAAGTAACACTGCCACGACTAGCTGATTTTGGTTTAACTCGCCGTTGCAGGTCATATATACATTATATATGGCTTTGTATAGAGCTTGAAAACTATTCTCCCCTTGGAGCTTATTCGGGTAATAGTTACTCTCTCTCACAGCAAGATCTTGGCCGTGTTACCAAAGCGATTGAGACTTTATTTACAGAGCTTGGTAAATGGGAGCCAAGTGGTAAATTACTACTTGATATCAGTATTCACTCGCCTAGCGATTCAGATCATTTACTCAAATATCTAGCCTTTGGGCCCGATATTCCTTCGAATGAGTGTTTGGGTCTACGTAACGTGGATCACCTTATGGACGACGCAGGGCACTGTTGGAATGACTGGAGTGCAGCCGGTAAAGCCGATAAACTGATCAGGAAGACCTTGAGTTCAATCTATCCCGACGATTCACCACCCAGCGCCAACGCCTTAGAACGGGAATTTGAATGGTGGGACCATTTGCCCCAGGTCCCAGCGATAACTGGTCTGCTGTTACGTCAGCAAACTCGCCGAAGGTGGCTTTTATCCACACTTGAAGAGATGCTGAACCATTTCCCTAGACTACAAGAGGTTGTCTATGAGCCGTGGAAGTTGCCAGATCATGGTTCCCAGACTGATGCCGACTTAGGTAAGATCTTATTGTTTACCATCTATTTTCTCCCTTGGATTACTAATGTTTTGGTTGATATAGACTATGAGTTCTTGTTTAACTTGCTCGCCCACAAAGATATACGGAAATTTACGATCTTCGAGAATTACAACCAATACTATTCACACCTTATCCCTGCATACAAGCATACTCGGACTTTTAACAAAGCTTTACATCAAACATCTGCTTTAATCAGTTGTAAAATGGAGCAGTTCTCGGCCTCATTTCTAGTCGACGCTAGCTTGTTTTTTGCTTCTTGCAAACCCTCCTGGACGTGGACCAACCTCACATCGCTTACTCTTACCTCGCCATTACTGGCTCCAAAAGCAGTCGCAGCCCAGACTGATCTTGTTAACATGCTTAATTCAGCAGCAGCAGTGGCTTATCAAATGCCACAGCTTAGGACTATGGAGTTGTGGAACGGACGAAAAAGCTTAGCAACTCTTTTTAAGTATCAGTCGAAGCCTCCAATTATTACCTGGCGAAGTACATGGAATTTCACCCTATTACCTCTCGTTATCCCTGCCTGGGCAGGTGTTACACATAAGCATGATACCGGAGAACTTATTGTCAGGAAGGAACTGCTGAATATCCGGCATACTGATATTAAATCCCATGGTGATGCAATCCACTATTTGAAGCTTTCACATCCGGTGGTCCGGCCTATTTCGTTGCAGCAAATCCGGACGGAGAACAAGGTTCATAGCATCTGGGAGAAAACCGGAAGGCGAAGGACCGGCAGGATGAGCTGAGAGGTAATTGATGTCAAAGGAGAAACGCAAGGATCACAGCGAGACTCGGGTCTCTAATTAGGCATCAGGGATTCAGGCATGTGGTGCTTGCCACTACGGCGCTGCCCCTTAGCCAGGGGTTATAGTGTGTATGAATACCTGATGACTACACGGCAATTGGAAAGAGTACCGCGTCACAGGTATTACACACCATGGACAACGACGGAAGAGAAAGCAACGGCTGCCCCATAAGTTCCAGCATCGACAATTCGGTTCGTTGTATGCTTACACCTCACCGACACCTACGCAACGACAAGAACCGATCGGTCCCGCGTATATCGAGCAGGCAGGGGCTGGAAAGCCAATGCCTCCAACTCAACGCTTTGAACGAGAACGCAGTCGCTCCTTGACACGCCCCGGTGGAGTCAAGCAAAACAGCCAGAAGGAGGAAGAAGACACCAGCAGTCTTTTACGAGATCTCAATTTACATTTCGAAGACCTGAGGAGAACAGTTGAAAAGCAAGAGAACCCTGAACCCAACCAGCTCGCTGCCATGGACAATTTACAGCACATTGTTGCAGGGTGCAGGGAATGCGTAGTGAGCATTTCGGCCATTCTTTTTCTCCGATAGCTATTATAAGAGCTTCGGCTTCCTCTCGTTGCTTTAGATCTTTTCTAATTAGAACAATCAACTCCCGTCTATTATTTTGAAAGACAGAATTTTGTGATTCTTCTGACCTTATGCATTATAACCTCCTTTTATTCCTCCTCGCGTTAGAGTGCCCTTTGGTATAGCACTGGGGCTTCTAGCAGAACTACACGCCACTATCTGTGTGGTGCCCGTTTTCAACATTCTGGACCATCTTAACGCATCGATGCTGGCAACCTCGGAGTCCCTTCAAAACCTAAATATTAATCTTATCGAAGATGCGGTCAAAAATGGGCAAACCGTCATGGCGAGGAACAAAATTCACCAGACTCGACCCTTGCTAGCCGAGGTAGAGTCACGGTCTACGTCGGTCACATTGGCGGTTGAGGGAAACGCTGGGGCTGCACGCCACTATTTCAATTCCGACCTATGGAGATATGGGGGACGTTCAAGCATCGTCCAGAAACCAGAATGGCATGCAGTGGACTGGGTCGAGTTGAACACCAGCCATGAGCACATTGAGGCGTGTTTCCACATAGCTAATACGGGGACCTGCCCCCGCTGGAGCTGGCATGCAGGCCAGGATAGCCTTTTCCGCATGATTCCTGAGCATATTCACATAATGGAAATCGTGTGCGGGTACCTCAATCTCGCGGCAGGGCGTGGATTAACGTCCTGGGTGGAAGGACTTTTTGATACCCCGGGGGGGTTTTGCAGCCATGTCTCATAGCGGGTGGTATTTGGGCCATTCCTTCCTCAAGTTTGCCGACGTCAACAGATACGCCGACTTGTTCGCAGAGGTTGCAGCCGCGATTATCGAGCCTGCAGATGTCGTCGAAGCACTTAGACGAGTCAATGGCTGGCGCATGTCAGTCGAGGAAGCGACTGAAGGACCTCCCACACAGGATTGTGCAACACCAGTCTTCGAGACAAATCTACCCAAAGACAGTCTTGTGAAGCTTCCCAAGGTGTGGGGCGAATGCAAGGACGGTCTATGTGTGTGTGGCGACTCCCTGATGGTGTTGGACACAACAACAGATGAGCTCGAAGTTCGGGAGCTAGCACCTGAGGAACAATAGCTTGCCATAAGCTATGTTTGGACACAAGATGATGAGAAAAGTCTACTTTCCAATATCGAGAGAGCAATTGAGGTGACTGGCATTCGTCTAGTCCCGGTGGATCGGCTCGGCATCAATCAGAGGTGCAAGCAACGCAAGGCAAAGCAGATCCCACGCATGAGCGAGGTGTACCAGGAGGGGTATGCTACCGTGGCGTTGGTTCCTGACGTTGTGGCAGAGCTTCCCAGACCACTTTCCTCACCAATGGCCATTCTACCAAGGCACAACTTTTTCAAATTGGCCGGAGTCGTCAGGTCACAGATGAAACTATGCGCGTGGCGGACCAGGTGCTGGACGTGGCAGGAGGGGTTACTAGGAAATCGCGGATACTACGTTACCCAAACAGGTGCCGCCTGCTCGCATTGTCTCCGACTGCCTGGTTTCTGTTGATGAAAGGGCAGGTGCGAGACAAATTTGCATCGCGAGCGGAAACATGGAGAGTCTGGGCGTGTACTCATTTCGATGCAACATCTCCACGTGGGACCAGAAGATATCAATTGGTGATCTGTTCGACACTGGAGACCGCGAACTCAGTAGATACTGGCTTTTGCCAGAAGTGGATACTCTAGCTTCGGCCCTCAGCCAAACGAGACGGAGAACATCATCACGTCCAGAAGACCAGGTCTACAATGTTCTGGGTATGCTCCCGAGGGGTAAAGAGCTAGAAGTGATCTGCGATCAGCCACGCAACAGCGTCCTTGCACGGGCCGCCAACGCGGGACTGGTGGGCGCTGAAATACTCCACAGCAAAAGCGTCAGCGTCCGGGATGGAGAGAGCTGGGTAGCGAACGACGACAGTTCGAAGCATATAGGGAGCATCTATGATCTAGGATACAAGCAACGCAAACCCGTGGAAATACACGACACTGGGCTGAGAACCCAATTCCACAGGCTTGAGGGCGTTGTTGGGCACTATGTGGACGGTTTCAGCTGGATGCTGAAGCTGGACGGCTGCGAGAAGGAGGAAATCAGGTGCCATTTAAATCAGGATGGCCTGGAGACTCTGGTCAAGTCCGTTGATCAGATCTTGCTACTGGAAGAAGAAACCAGACCAGGGTGCTTTTACAAAGCTGTAGTACTCGTGACCGGGACCGGTTCAGACGTGTTTCGTCTAGCTACGGAAGAGGTAGCGATAGAGCATTGGATGAAGGTGAAGACGCAAGTGGTGTCGAGGGTAGTGGGATAGTGAACTGGGCAGATTTTACGGTGCTTCATGACTGCGATCCCGCACAGAGGTTAGCTGGATAGTAGAAGGGCACGGTGGGAATATCGTTAATCCATTCATGTTTCCAATTGTGCCTCCACATCCTGGTGATTGATCTAGATACGCCACCATGCCACGCAATCAATGTAATCGCTCCAAGTCGACCTATGCACGGTGGACGCGAGCCAAATCGCGTCTATGGGAATCCATCACAACTTGTAATAGTCTCCCCGAAGATCTTGCTTCAGCTCGGACCACGCTCCCTTCCAGTCGCCGACCTGTCTGGCACTCCGCCTCCTCCTCGCGAAGGTAATGGTCCTGAACTCCACGAACCACACTACCAGCCAATACGCGCTGCCGACGATCGCGAACGCGGCCGTCACCCACTCCACCACGAGGAAGTGGACCCCGTATTTCACCTCCACGCCGAGGGCGTCGGCCAAGCCGCTGATGGTGTCCGCCTGGACGACGACCACGCCCGTTGTGATGCCGGCCGCGAGGAGCATGGAGACGTTGGCTAGTGTGGCGAAGATGAGCATAGTGAAGACGACGAACTGCCGGATGTCGATGAATAGGAGGGCCGAGCCGGCAAGCGCCAGCGTGCCGGCTATGATGCGGATGACGACGAGGGCGAAGATGACCTTGGCGGTTGATGCGACAACGGGGATGGTGGTGGCTATGGCCTGCTTCACGGCTGCGACAGGCGGGATGGAAATGTTTGCCGTGGTTCCGACGGGGATGGATGAAGGGATGGAGCTGGCGATGTTGACGATCTGTCCCAGGCCGTCCGTCTTGTCGGAGTACGAGACGCATCTCGTGGTCAAGAAGTCGCTGATCGGACTGTCTTCGTCCAGGAACTTTCCCTGGCAGATCTTGGTAACATAGAAGTTGTAGATATCGCTTCTCGGCTGCATCTGCGTGAGGTTCAATATCGCTGAGGGCACGGCGGATGCTGTTTGAGATGACATTGCGCTGTTGCCATTGCTAGTTGGGGTTGGCAACACTGGAGTTGGCAACGTTGGAGTTGGCAGCGCCGGATTTGGCAATTCCGGCGGCTGGAGACATGCTGAGAGATTCCCTAGCAAACACTGAAGTGGATTGTCTTCTGCCGAGCCGGAGAGGTCATCTCTACTGGATAAAGCGGCACGAGCATCTGACGACGTGTTCGCAGGTGTTATCCGTATGAGGCCCTGGCCAATTCTGGACACATTGACCTGTTGGTCGCCAACATCATAGGTACGTTAGCCTGTACCTCGACGAGGTCTTTTGAGGGGACTTTAACAGGTGACGTACGGATAGCCAAAAGTTGTCTTTCGCAGTTGCAGGTGTCGTCCCTGCGGCCAGTAATACAGTGCTGAGAGCAACAACGACAGTCGACGCAATCACCGGGACCAGAGCCGACCATCGTATCGCCATCGTCACAAATACTATTAGAGCAACGGCGCGCATTTCAAAAAGCAGAAATGTGATATTGAAGAAACACATATGATATACGCCCCGGGGGGCTCTAATGACTCTTGGATTGACCTAGGGGTCCTGGGCAGGGATGTAACCTCGTGAGGTCTCAAAAAATTGCCGCATCGGGCCGCTCCCTAAAACTCATCAATGCGATAGCCCAGCCGCAGAACCAAACCAGGCTAGGCACAGCTGGCTCTTGACCCAAAAACGCCCCGAATACGATTTCTCCACGTCACTGCATTGCACAATTGTTGTCGGGGTCCATGTACTGTGGGTCTGATCTGCAAAGTGCGACCCGTGAAGCCAGAATCGAAGGAATAGAAATTCAAGCACAACGCCAACAATTGGAAGATGCTAGGTGACAACTGAAACTTGTCAGGTGGAGTGGGCTTTTCCAAGCAGCTGGGTTCATGTTTGAAGGAAATGTCATTTTCTTCTCGGATGTTGACAGGCTTTGATAATCTGTACAGCAATCTCGATTTCAGATGGAGCAGCTCGATTTATTTCTCGTCTTAGACCGCCAAGCAAATGTTGACAGATCTTCGGGGGTCCTTGATAATGTAGTGGAGCCATACGATGGGTTCTCAAGCTTCTTCTTTCTTGCAACATTTCTGCAGTATTGACCATTGCCTCTGTATCGCTCTGGACAAAGGTCATTTGCTCAGTGCGACTGACAGGAGCTGCATAGCATTGTAATAAAATGTCGTTAGCAATCTTGGCCAACCGAGGTTAGATACAGACTGATCCAGGCGTTCTTGACATTACGCTCGATCTGGTTGAGGATGTTGACCTTCATCGGTAATCGCCTCATTACAAACCTATTGTTGCCCTTTGAACGGTTCCACGCGTGCCAAGTTAATTCGTAAAGCAGCCCCGGCCAGATGGATCCTGTCCAGCCACTTGATTAGCTTGCCTGCCGTTGTTCCAGAACGTGGTGGCATTGCACATCGGTGCGAGGTAAAATCCCGACTCACCAGACCAAACGGAAGCGGCCGAGTGTCAGAAGATCCGAGCTAGATCAAGGCTGGATGCGTCTCGCTTCCCCCTGCCACGTGCAGGTCATCTTTGCGCCGGCCGGTTACGCGCCGGGCTTTTTGCGGAGCTCGGTTCCGGCCGCTGGCCAATAACTTTGCTGACTAGGGCTTTTGGGCTGCCGCACTTCACACCACCACTTGAGCTGTTGTAGGATCTGTAACGAGAGACTGGCCGAAGCAACGTTGTCAACAGGTTGTATCACCCGTCAGAACGGAAAGACATGCCGTCGCGAGTGGCCCGGGGGAGTGGCAGATGGCTAGATCTGGGGAAGTGATCATGCACACCCATTCGTCGGTAAACCTGTCAGACAGCTGGGTGTGCCACCCTGCGACACCCAATCGACAACATCTCGCCTCTCATTGATGGCTCAGTTTAATCATTTCGATTTGGTACCGTGTCAAGCACATGCCAATCAGGTTCGAAAGCATTCGAGAAGGTTTGACCCGCAATGTCGGTTACCGGAAGCGCAGCTGACACCCCTGCAGCAATGACCTCCACGAGGCGTCGATAGACGTAATTCCTGAGACAATATACATCGAAAAAGACCGAGGCAATATGTATGTTTACGTTTCTCCCATTGGCAAGAGAAAGCTTTCATCATCACAAGCTTGGAAGGCCAGCCAGCCCTTCCTCAGGCAAGGGATCCTCGAATGGCAGAACGATTCCGGCAACCTGCCACAATGTAAGCAGTCATGGAGTCGTCATGTGGCGCAGAAAAATGGTCCCCAGACTCGAACCTTCTTGAAGTTGCAACTAAGCCTAATTTAGAAGGATTTTGCTCTCGCAGTCAGAGTGACTTAGCATTGGGATGTGAATCAAGCTGATCCTTCAAACCTGGGAGGGGGCATTCAAGCTAGGAGCCAGACCCTACGTGCAGCAGCAGTAAGCACTTTTGATATTTTACGCTTGCTTCCGATGGATCTCCCCATTGCCGACTGTCGAGGTACCGCTTATTTAATCATGGAGCGATGATTCAGTCACAATGTGTACCAGCCCATCCTCTGGCCGCTGTTCGGATCCATGACACCTTTAGATCCGAGTGACACAGGCGTAGCAGTAGGTCATATGTGGCACACCTACCTTTGATCATTTGTTCAAGCCTAAACACGTTCGAACCCTCACTGTCCCCGTTGGGGTAGTCTCCTACTATGTCATGGAAGGATCGTGACAACGGCAGTCGCACTCCAGTGAACACATGGATCCGATCTTGTTTCATAGCGCCCAACCGCATGATTAATCTGTCTTCTGATTCTTTGCACGGGCTTTGGCAAAGTTGAGGGTTTCAGAGGGCAAGGAAACAAGCTGTATGTTGCTCATGTGGTAACAATGGGCCTGAACCTAGGCTATGCAACCCGTGAGCATGTCGCGGAAACTGTAGGCGCGGCTAGAGTACGTTGAATCAGATAGAACTGTATGGTTATCCACGTGCACTGCATAGTGTTGGTCAGTGAATAATGGCATTCACTGGCGCTTCCAGTCACCGCCCACTCTGACGAGTACTTATAGCGTAGATTGCAGGCCATTTGGCTTCTTCTTTTCTGTCCTCTTCAGTAGCCACAATCCGGATTGCTATACCTGATTGCCCAGTTACCTATACACATTCGGCTCAGAACTGACCGTGGATCCGTTGCGCAACGTTGTCATCCCATGAGACAGCATTGAGGGTACCAGAAGGTAGCGGGATCATCGCTATGGCGTCCTTACTCAAATTCATTGCAGTCATTCTGCTCTCCGTTGTATCCCCGGTCCTGTCTAGACCCAGCTATGAGATTGCAGAAAGACAGACGACCGACAGGCTCGTGTTCTGTCACTTCATGGTGGGTCTCTTGAGATCCAATCCTGGTCTCGTCCTTACCTCGATATTTGGCTTTCCCAAGACTAAGCAGAGTGACAGATCGGCATCGTCTCTGATCGTACTGGCCCAGCAGACTATGATGCGGACATGCAACGGGCCAAAGCGCTCGGCATCGACGCTTTTGCCCTCAACATCGGCGTTGACCCGTACACCGACCAGCAGCTGGGCTTCGCCTACCAGTCTGCCGCCAACAACGGCATGAAGGCTTTCATCTCGTTTGACTTCAACTGGTACCACATAAATCAGGGCACTCAGGTCGGGCAGAAGATCGCCCAGTATGCCAACACTTATCCTACGTCCCAGCTCTACGTGGACGGCAAGATCTTCGCATCGAGCTTTGCTGGAGATGGAGTTGATGTGAACGCAATCCGCACCGCTGCAGGGGCACCGATATTCTGGGCCCCGAACTTTCACCCTGAGCAAGGTACCAACTTTAGTACCGTCGATGGTGCTCTGAATTGGATGGTACGTTCTCTCACGCTTGCGTGGGAGCTGAGAAGCTGACTCACAGCGTCTAGGCCTGGCCGAATAACGGCAACAACAAAGCTCCTAGGCCAGGTCATAATGTTACAGTGGAAGAGGGTGATCAGGCATACATTACAGCACTTGCCGGAAAGCCTTATATTGCTCGTATGTGACTTTGGCTCCCCCTCTGACTTTTGACACATTCTAATTCAGAATCAGCCGTCTCTCCATGGTTCAGCACCCATTTTGGACCGGTAAGTGAAAGATATCCTGACTCACCACTCTAGGAGTGTAAACTTGTTCTTGAACTGACCCAGGGGCTTCTTTCGTTACAGGAAGTACCGTATAGCAAGAACTGGGTTTTCCCTGGAGACCTGCTTTGGTTCGAGCGATGGAACGAGATCCTGTCCCTTGCGCCACGCTTCCTTGAGATTATCACATGGAATGACTACGGGGAGAGCCACTATATCGGACCGCTGGCCTCGAAGCACACGGATGACGGAAACTCCAAATGGACCAACGATATGCGAGTGAACCCCCATAGAGACTTCCAAGCGATGCCAAGCTAACATCTTCACCACTCAGGCCTCATGGGGGCTGGATGGACATGGCGAAGCCTTTCATCTCAGCTTACAAGGCCGGCGCGAGCTCCGCAGCGTCCTATGTCTCATCTGATCAGCTAATCTACTGGTACCGGCCAACTCTCAGGAGCATCAACTGCGATGCCACAGACACTACAATGGTCCAAGCAGACAACAGCTCAGGAAACTACTTCATGGGTCGCCCAGACGGCTACGAGACGCTCGCCGATGCCGTCTTCGTTGTGTCAATGCTCAAGACGGCGGGGACCGTGACAGTCGCATCCGGCAACAATGTGCAGTCGTTCAATGCACCCGCTGGCATCTCGGCCTACCAAGTAGATATGCAAGTAGGAAAGCAGCAATTCTTCCTGGCGCGGAACGGCCAGACGATCATGAGCTCTGTGAGCCTGAAGAACATCACGGACGTCTGCCCGTGCGGCATCTACAACTTCAACGTCTACGTCGGGACCGTGCCGGACGAGCCTTCTGATCCGCTGGGGCCTGATGCTCTGGCCTCGTTGACGGCTGGTCTGCATGTCACCACCTGCTCTGCTACGCCATCGCTTGGCACCTCGCCAGTGACGCCGACGACGATTCCGCCAACGACCTCTGTCACGACAACGACATCAACCACAACGTCTAGTACCAGCCCAACTAAGACCACCACCAGCAGCACCAGCAGCACCAGCAGCAGCACCAGCACCACGAGCACTGTATGAGCCTTCCACAAGCACAATTCTCTACCTACAAATGGGTACTGACTCTCACGGATGACAGACCAGCACCACGTCCTCCACATCCACCACAACCACGACTAGTTCTGCGACCCCAAGCCCAACAGGGGTTTGCAATGCAGGCACCGGGCCAGGGAACTACGTCGGTCTCTGCAGCTTCTGCTGCAACTTTGGGTACTGCCCACCGGGGCCATGTACGTGTACGTCTTACGGGGCTCAGGTTCAACCGCCGCCGGAGACGGGCACAGTGGGATTGCCGCTGCCGTCGGAGGACGACAGCTATCTGGGTTTGTGCAGCTACGCTTGCAATCATGGGTATTGCCCGCCGACGGCTTGTCGGGTGGCATAGTGGTTCAAGCGCCAGGGGATTATTCTGGATCGTCTTCCTGCATTTGAAGGTCATCCTAGGAGAGGTTGATACCTGGAAACTCATGGTGGTCGTTAGCTGCACATAGGGGTTATCTCTTCGGGCTGGAGAATAGTATACACAAATCCAAGTTCTTGACACTTTCCGATCCATGAGACAACACATATCAATGGCCTCGAGTAAGAGTTGTTTGATTCGTTTTAACACTTTCAGTAGATTACAAACCGTCCACAACTTTTGCCTTTTCCTCTCCAGCTCCAGGCCGTCGTGGTCCTCCTATAGCCTTAGGATCGTTGCTAAGGAAGGCTTCCTATGGCTTCTTGTGGTCACTACCAAGGGCTTCTGAGTCTTGATTATGCCTTCAACCGAAGTGTGGCCCAGCTACTGAACTGCTGTGGTGAGATCTCGTCCTGCGTGGAACACAACTACACCCGCGATGCTCAGGTGACCCCGCCGCAGTATGTGGGCTGGCGAAATGGGAAACTGCACTCGCATGCAGGCTGCGAACCAGTCTAATCTGGATGTGTTGCTCTGGTCACCGGCTCATAAAAGACTTGGGCAACATGTTGCGTGGTGCTTTTCTTTTCGGATTTTCTGCACTGTCTTGATGCAGTCAGAATTCTCAAGTGCTACTGTATATCGGTGAGTTGGCAGTTCGTCGCCGAGCCCATGACGGCAGTGGGGCTAGGTGTTGATCCGCCCATGGCCCAGTATGGTCGAACATCAAGCCCCTGAGGCGGCTGCTGCGTTAGCCAGGCACATTTGGATCAGGCTCTTAACCCCAGCCCGCAAGGATGCTCTCAATCTTTCTCTAGGCCTCCTTCTAGGCTGATGCAGGCCGGGACATCTGGTCCAGTGTGGGGCCTGTGCAATTTGGAGACTGAATCCTTCACGTTTTGGCGGTGCTCCCTCATGCTACAGAGGGAGACGGTAAACAGCTATAAATACTTGGGTACCCTTCGAGAATGGCGCTGCACTAGCTCTAAGATTTTCCGCAAGTAAGCAGTCCGCACATGCACCTGTGCTACTTCTTAGCTCAACGACTTTAGGAGCTCTTCCCCGACGTAACCAATTTTTACGAGAGTAATTGGAATATTTGTCTACCAGCATTACAGCCATTGACACCTATTTTGCGGCATCAAAGCACCCCGTTTTAAAAGACTCAAAAGTATCCTGCCGCAAGTGCAATTTTCCTTGGTATTCGAAGTGTTCGGCAACAGAATATGAGCTGCCCATTATGTTCGAATTTCCGTCCAGAAGAAGTCAAGGACATGGCCCCGGGAACCAAAGCACGAGTGGTGCGACTGATTCCCGTCAAGGACATGCGATCATCTGACTGTGACGAGTGTCGGTTGATGTGGGAAGCCCTCCGCCGTTTTCAGTCAACATTCGACGACCAGAGCCTCGTCCACGTTGAGATGGCTCTAAATGGACCAATACTGGTCAGGTATCAGGGTCTGGACAGGTTGACAGTCGAGCTTTTCGTTCGTCACTCAGACGGAAGCAACGACTCTAGTGACCAACTTATCGGCTCTGTGACAGAGGTTTCGCCCTTCTCCGGTTCCGAAGCATGCCACTCCCTGGCTGCCTCTTGGCTCAAAGACTGCATCGAGAACCATCCGACCTGTGGGCCTTCTGGTCTAGTACCGCTGCCTACTAGGGTTATCGATGTCGGTTATACGGATGCCAGCGAGCCACGTCTTGTCGAGTCCAAGGGTCTGCACGACAAGTACGTGGCTCTCAGTTACTGCTGGGGAAACCCCAAGGTGCACCCGCCGATGAAAACGCTAAAGACAAACTACGATGACCACAAACGATGCATCAAGTACTCTTCAATGCCGAGGACCATACAAGACGCAGTCACAATCTGTCGAAAGTTGGGAGTCCAGTATCTCTGGGTGGACGCGCTTTGTATAATCCAGGAGGACGAGCAGGATTGGATCCAAGAGTCCGTCAAAATGTGCTCGGTTTACTCCAACTCAATCTGCACAATTTCTGCTGCTCATGCAGAGGGCGTGAGTGGCGGCATGTTCTCGGAGCAACTCTTTGCGTCCCACACGCACGAACTGAATCTCCGAGGGCGCCCGGTCTACACGAGAAGGTTCCTCGCAACGTACCACGAACACTCTGACTTTGGCAACATCTTCCACTGCCCATCGACAACAAGCATGTTCGAACCTTCGGCTCGGATGACGGAGCCCATCGCCGACCGTGGCTGGACGCTGCAGGAATCCATCCTGTCGAACCGTCTCCTCCATTATACGACCGACGAGTTGATGTGGGATTGTAACGAGACCCGACGGTGCGAGTGTGGTAGTTCTATTGGGCCTACCGATATCTCTGAAAATTACAATGCATTGTTGCGCCGCCCGGACATCCCTGTAAGCGACGTTGAAGAATGGCGCATCTGGATGTTGTGGCAAGGGTTCGTGGAAACATTCTCACTGCGCAGACTCTCTTGTGAGCGCGACAAGCTTCCCGCCTTGGCCGGCCTTGCAGAACAGTACGTCACGCATCTTCAGCAGCGCTTTGGTAGAAAGCCCGTCTACCTTGCAGGACTCTGGGATGTCTTTTTGTTGAGGCAGCTTTGTTGGAGCGTTCAATACTCCAGGATGAGCTGGCGCCCAGATGGCCATTATAGGCCCAGGCGTCCGGAGGTCTGGAGGGCACCCACCTGGTCTTGGTGCTCGGTTGAGGCGCCTATCAAGATAATCGAGGCCCGAGTGTTTGAGACCTCGGCTGAGGTCGTCGAAGCAGTGACCGAGCCCACATACCCAGACCTGTACCCCTTCGGCCCAGTGAAGTCAGGAAGACTGGTTTTACGGGGAAAGGTCATCAAGGATCTCCAGGTTGAGCACGCGGGAACTGATCTCGTATTGGAGGGGCCTACGACGAACAACAACAACAACCTTCTCACCTTCAGATTATTAGATGAACAGGGGAACTCATTGCATTTTCTGTGTGATGACCCATCATCAATTCCTTATGGCTGCAGTCCAGGCTATTTATGTATCCTTATTGGGCACAGGATCTATGGGCGTTTCTCGAGGGAACCTTGCTTTCTGGTACTGAAGTCATCGACCAAGGACACAGACTGCTATGAAAGGATTGGGTTGGCAGATTCTAGGGCGCTTCCGGTTGATCTCATGGAGACTTGGGACGCCAGCTGGGCAGAAAACTCCTGCGAGGCACAGGAGATGGTCCTCACTATTCTCTAAGAGGATTATTGGAAGTGGCTTGTTGCCTCCTGCGACAAAGTAGATTTCATAATTCAACTCATATAAGATAACCAGTTGTCAGTCCAGAAACAACGGGCTACTTGACAGATATTGGAATTGAAAATGTTTGTTATTTTGGTTTCCAATATCCATTCTGAAAAGCCTGGCTAATTCCACTTCCGCGCTGCTATTTCACACCTCCTGCCAAAATGAACGACTACATCAAATTGTTAAGAAACATGCCGATTCATTCTCACGTACCATTATAGCAGCACCGGAGACGGTAATGAGAAGTCATAACGCATCCCAATATCATTTTCACCGGCTCTCCCGTTTCCATATCCCGGCTAAGACATTTTCACTGACCTGACGTCTTGCAAACAGCATCTGACGCCAATGAATAAGCGACAAACTCCCAATCAAGTCGAAATGTTGATCCTAACTACAATCCCCCCCCCCATGCTATTTAACGTAGTGACGGTGAGATAGCTAGGCGACAAAGCTAACAGAGTGCCGAGCTTAATAGCCCGCTAAGACCTCTTATCAAAAAGACTGATGCGTTAAATTTCGAGAGTCGCTGGACGCAAAGACCTTGATGCTATAAGAGATTCGGAAAAAGTAATCAAAGAAGTAATTAAGGTGTTGTTAAAAAAAGTCTTTATGTAATACAGAGGCCTAAAATGTTCATCAGAAGCTATCATCTTTTGTATTCAGCTTTTGAGTGGATCGGGAGGGCTTTCGGGCCGGTAGGGCATAGAACCTGGAATCCTTCGAGCCATCTCAATCCCCCGCCCTCTCCCCGGCCTGCTTTGATTTGAATACTTGTGAACCTACACTAAATGAGATCCTGATTCTTACTCTACATTGACTTCCAGCCGCTGGATCTCAGTTACCGAGTCACACGTGTACAGATCTCAAGTCAACTTGCCGCTGACCATGTTTTCCAACATCCCCCCAAGTGCAATCACTACCACCCCGGACGGCGTGGCACCAATGGAGATGCTCGCCAAGCGTCCCGGGCGGCGCGGCCTGCATATCGTGGACTACAACCCCTCCTGGGCAAACGACTTCTCCGACCTCGAGTCCCGAATCCGCTCGGCTCTCGGCTCAGCCGCACTCAACATCCACCACGTCGGGTCCACCAGCGTCCCGGGGCTCTCGGCGCGGTCCGTGATCGACGTCGACCTCGTGGTCGCCGACCCCGCCGACGAGGCCTCGTACGTGCCGGCGCTGGAGGCAGCCGGTTTCACGCTGTACTTCCGGCAGCCGGCTTACTACGGTCACCGCTTCCTCGGGTGCCAGACGCCTGATACAAATATCCACGTCTACGGCCCGGATTGTCCTGATGTCGCGCGCCACTTGATCCTCAGGGAATGGTTGAGTGAGCATCCGGAGGACAGGGACAAGTATGCGGCAGTGAAGAGGGAGGTCGCGGTTGTGGCGGAGGAGAAGGGCGAGACGGGCAATCAATACGGCAAGAGGAAGGAGTGGGTTATCCGGGAAATCATGGACAGGGCGTTTAGAGAGAATGGGCTGTTGCCGGATGGTAGTGGTACGAGGTCGGAACAAGGTCATTAGAGCGTGATTGTTAGACTTATCGTTGTTCAACGCAAGATGATCTAGAATGCACGAATAATATGTTTCGCTGCACTTCGAGATGCTGTCTGATCCTTTACGTTTGTGGTCGAGCTTTACGTTCGTCGTTTATTTTATAGCCTACGCCTCGCTTGGGTATCTAATAATCAGTATACATACGCACACATACAGTACCAAAGAAAGATGATCAGAAACAATGCGCCACCATTTCTTCAAACTCCTAGCATGTGTCAATTTCCCATTCCAATGACTACAGAATACGTCTTGCATCAACAAAGTCAGATCTACTTGTTCCCTGCTCTTACCATATCTCTAAGCCTGGACCCAGCCTCCTTCGCCTCCCCCCCCCCCAACTGCGCACGTACCCATGCTCATCACCCTGCTGAAGTCCATAATTAGCTGAAAGAATTGACATATAATTCCTAAGCTTCCAATAAACTGTCTCATGCGAGACACGTTCCGTTTCCTGGTTCACACTCACGCTTTCCTCACACAGCATCAAGATGCCGCCCAGCTGCAGGTCAAACATGCACTCGCAAACAGAGCGTCAGAGTAACACGCAGCCAAACAAGAGCGGTTGCCGACGGTTCCACACATGTTTTCTGTCTGCTGATCAAAAGCACAATGTGTCACGAGAGCAGGCGGCAGATGGTGTGATCTTTGGACCAAATTTGACCTAAACCGCACGAGAATTGGCATTTTCTGTTGCATTCCAACTTCGTCCCATCCACTTCACTTCATCTTGCCATGGAGTCTCGACACAGCGACACTTTTGGGCCAGTCAGCTTGGATGGAAGGATGTATGTGTCCACTGACCAGGTTCAACAGAATCGAATTTCTCAGAATCTCGAGGGAAGTTCCCGCAACGAGGAATATTTCGATCCGGCGAAACACCGAGACTGGGGCTATCGGAAGCTTCCGCGGAATCGGAACCAAGCTCGCTCCCAGAGTCCGCCCCGGACGGACGGTGTCATGGATGCTGAGACAGGCGCTGATGGCATGATTCCGATGCAAGAGGAGCGCTCAAGGGCGTTTAGCCAGTGCGATGCGGGGACACAGACCGTCCCGGGCGGTGAGGAAAAGACCTTCTGGGTAAATCGAAGACTTGATCTTGCTTTGATACCATGCATGTGGGTAAGTAGCAACTCGGATGGGAGCATCTGCGGCTCCCCGCTTGACAGATTGATGTCCGAATTGGCTGATCCAAGTCTTGAAGTTCGTGTTCGGTACCACCTTTGATGGCTTCCACGAGGGCTCCTCGCACACTATAATCCGGGGATGTGTCACAAACGCCGCGGCTTTAGTCGTTCAGGTTGTGAACTACAAGGCCTTGTTCAGTATTCGCCTTGGACGCTACCTTGGCATAGCTGTCCTGGTCCAAGGCAAGTTCTATAGTACCACCAAGATACCTAGGCCTCAGTCCTCTTCTTTTGAAGCTTTTACCATGTCTGACATCGTTCGCCTTTTGGCAGGTATCGCCGGACTCGTGTCGAGCGTGGTTCTTCTCATGGACCCAGGGGCAAATGATTTCGGCGGTGACATTGTTCTCCAACTATTGCTTGCAGCATCCCGCGCTGTAATTGGACCCTGCTTCGTTTTGCTCACTGCCGCATGGTATGCCAACACAAATGGCGGCAGCATCGCGCGACTGCTGCTCTGGGCATCCGGTTACCCAGTTCTGTTCGAAACAGTTCATTATAGCACCAGCTTTGCGGACTCATCCTCCAGGGTATATTACGCTATGTACTGCGGCTTTGCAACGGTCTGCATCCTGTTGTCCGTCTACGTCTTCGCCTGTGTTGATATGCCAGGCGCGACCATGTGGCTGGACATTGCCCGCCGAAAGGGTCGACTTCAAGGCCATGAGAGGTGTCAACAGCTTCGCAGCTCACCACAGGTATGCCTATGCCGCAATTGAAATCTGTTTCATTGTAAACTGGGGCTGATCATGCGCAGTTAGCAAAACTAGTTGCAGAGCCCACGGCTTGGTTTGCTTTTGGGGCCAGCTTCTTCTGTGCAGCCAGCGGCCCTATAGATGGCGAAGTGTTGCAAATGTTCTACAAATTGTCTTTATCTGCACAAGCTGAGGCGGACTTTCTCGTTCTACTCCCTTTGGCGGCTTTTGGCTACCTAGTAGTAAAATATCCGATTACCCGTGGTACGTCTTCGTCCGCCCTCGGCATTTCCTAGCTATCTACCGCACCTCCTCCCTGAAGACAACCGTTCAAAAATTGTGCTCTAGGTCTTGAGAATTCCTTCTGACTCCTTCTTTGTTACATAGTTCCTATTCTTGCCCTGACTGCTGGTCTTGCATTTGCCGGCCACATGCTTCTTGTGAAATATTTCGAAGCTGAAACTGTAGATGATGATTCAAGATTCAGACTGGACGCTGGGGCATTGTTCCTGCGGAATATGATGTTTTACTGGCAATACCGTAAGTAATGGTCTACCTCACCTGTGTCTAATACGCTAGTTGGCCCCTTCTCGCAACACGGATACCATTCTGCCGCTCGCTCCTTTCCGGCTCAGAAACTAACAGATCCATGGCAAGTCCTCTGGGCCATCCTTCTGCTCAGAAGCTCGAGACCCGATACTGCCGACTCTCAAAACCTAGTAGCTAATATCGTTGTCGCATTCGCGGCAACTGCACTGTGCCGCTTGTTAGGATACGGCGCACTCCACGGCCTGACCGACGTGGCCAACGACTGGGCTTTTCACAGTACTGTGTGGGAGGGGCCGACGAAGATATTCATGTCCATAATGTTCGGTCTGCAGATTTTGGTGCTGTTGGGATGGTTTTTCTGCCTTGACTGGCAGCGACAAAGGAGAAGAGAAGGGCAGTCCACCTCAGCCCGCCCAGACATCACAGCAGAGCTCGAGTGTTAGGTCACCATCCTTCCATGATTGCGAGCTCGGGCTGTCGTGGCACATAGTGGAACTGGACATCCATAATGAGACCGTGATCTTCAACATGAGGACTTTTCAAGACTGAAACTACCGAGTGTATAACAATCGGCGATTCAGAAAGAGATGATTCATTTCGCAGACAGTTGGGAGTAGTAGAGATACCAGAATCCATGTGCAATCACGTGGACCTGATTATAAGTGGCGCTGGATATTGAAATACCGATTATATCTCGGCCAGGAGCTCACGATTCGTGGTTCATTGCCGTCTCACGACGCCGGCGACATGCTATCTTGATTCTCTACAATCAATAAATTAAGCTCAGCGGTCATCCCCCCCCCCTCCCCAACTCCTGTGTGTTTCATTGCACGCGTCTAAAGTGTCTGAAGTACGGGTCGAGCCCGTTTGACAATATTCGCCGCCAGCTCACTAAGCGACGAACTTCCAATCAAGTCGAAAATGTTGATCTCAACGCGAGCATTGGGCACAAGCCAGTTTGTCAACTCAACAGCTACCAATGAGTCCACGCCGTAGTGAGAAAGAGGCCGACCCGGGTCAATATCCGTCTCCGGAAGAACAAACATGTCCGATATCTTTGCAATCAATGCGCCTTGCACGGCATTCGCAGCTTCGTCCAGTGATGTTGCACGGGAGATTTCTTCGTGGAGGCTCACGCGCCCATGTCCAGGTCGGGCCCCGGCGCTACTCGTCCCACGGCTCCCACGGCTCGAAGATGCGCCCCCCTGCAGCATAGACAAGCGTGGATCATTCCCAGTGATCCCAGCGCTTGAAATCCCCGCAGCTATCTGTGATGTACGCGGCGGCCGGCGAGGGTTGCGTATGGCGTAATCGACCAGGCCCAAGACCTCGGACTCGCTCAGCGGGCGGTGGCCGCGGTCTCGCATGCCCTCTTCCTGCGTTTCAGCAACGAAGCCGACCGATTTCACGGGACCGAGGTCGATGGCTACGCATGGCAGGCCCCTCGCGCCTCGACGACGTGCCACTGCGTCCAGGTATGTGTTCCCGGCTGCGTAGTTGGCCTGTGATGGATAGCCGAGGACACCGGAGCGGGAAGAAAGGAGAATGAAGAAGTCCAGGTCGTGGCCTAATAGCTCTTCGATGTTCTTGGTACCGCTGACCTTTGGGTTCAGGGCGTGGTTCCACTGAGAGAAGCTCATGCGCTCCAGAATGGAATCCTGTTAGATATGGGTTATCAGTTAGCAACATCCATGATTAGATACAACGATGTCTTTCGAGTGCAAGGGAGACCTACGTCGAGCACCATACCACCCTGGACCACACCTCGTATATCTGGCATTCCCGACGCACGGCAGCCATCTATGGCCGCCTTCAGGGATTGAAGGTCCCCAACATCGCAGTTCTTGACCATTATTCTGGCCCCGTCGATGGCCAGCTCCTCTATAAAGGTTGAACTTTCTGACCGTGACGCCGCGTTTCTAGAAACCAGCAGGAGGTTGCGGGCCCCGCGGGATATGAACCACCTCGCAATAGACTGCCCAATGCCACTAAGGCCACCGACAATCATGTACGAAACATCCGGACGAAGTTGGCAGAGTTTTAGTGGCTCTATTACCTGCATGGTTGTAAGACTCAAGATACTCGTTGATGGCGAGCACATAATGAAGACGAGTAGACTCACTTTGACGAGTTGATCTGGCCCTGGGACAAGGACTATTTTGCCAATATGGTTTCCGGCTTGCATTGTCCGGAATGCTCGTGCGGCCTCGGCCAACGGGACTGCTGACACTGGGGTAAGGTTGCTGATAGCACCACTGCCTAGCAAAGACAATAGCTTCTGGAGGATCCGTTGGACAAGGTGTCCCTTGTTGTCTGCCAGCTGGATGATGTCGACGTGCATGAAAGAAAGAGCTCTCCGAAATGGCTCCATCTCTAGCGACTTGTTCAGATGTACGTCCTTTTTTCCGATCTCCAGGAATCGCCCAAGGGGGGCGACCAAGTTCCAGCTTTCATTCAGCAGGTTACCAGCCAGAGAAATGATGACTGCATCAACCCCTCGCCCTGCCGTGGCGCTTCGTATCTCCTGAGGGAAGAGGTCGTCCCGACTCGAAAAGATGTGGTCTGGTGGAATAGAAAATTGGCTCTTCAAGAAGTCACGCTTCTCCTGGGTCCCAGCAGTGACGAAAATCTCGATTCCCTTCCACTGAGCCAGGATGATGCACGCCTGACCCACGCCCCCAGAAGCAGCGTGAATGAGCAGAGTGTCGCCGTCCTCACACCTGGCGGCCTCGAACAGAGAGTAGTATGCCGTCACGAAGGCGGTGACGAACGACGCAGCTGTCTCGAAGGTCATCGATGGCGGTATGCGTGCTACAGATGTCCACGGCACCCGCACGGTGTTGGCAAAATGTCCGTGTGCAGTCAGCGCGCAGACTCGGTCCCCAACTCGCAGGCCATGCGTGGTCTTAAGTTGAGAAGAATGCGGCCCGACTTGTGTCACGACTCCTGCGCACTCGACGCCGATTTCTTGCCTTTCTTCTTTGAGCATTCCCATGGCCGCCATCACGTCGTGGAAGTTGAGGCCGAAGGCACGCGGCTTGATCTCAACGTAGTCCTCAGGTAGAGGAAGACCTGCATCAGGGTCTTCTCTGAAGACAATACTATCCAGAAGACCTGGTGTATCCACGTGCATGCGTAATTTGAGATTGGGCTGTTCAAAAGGTTGTGCCTCTGGGCTTCTCTCCTCAAGACCATCCAGGAGGGCTTCGTTCTCTTTGTCATCGACGCAGATTCGGGGCACGAATATCTCTGATTTGCGGACGGCGTATTCTGTGTCCACGCCCGTGACATCCTGCGCCCAGTCCATTGTCCTCTGGAATACTCGTACGATGGCTGAGTGGCCGGATGAACTCCATGGTGCATCTGAACTGTCGAGGTCGAGAGATATGTACCTCTTGCTGGTATTTTCGAGGCGTGCAGTGCGAAGCAGACCAGTATGGGTGGCGTTTTCCGGGATCTCGCAGTTGATGGCGGAGCCCGATGTGACCCCATAGCAACCCTTTGCATTGCGTGATGATTCTAATGACGGCAGTAAAACTTGTCTCATCGAACTGTAGTGATGGGCCGTCGATACCAGAAAGCAATACGCAGGTCTTGCCCTCGGGTGCGACTTCAGAGAGATTCTCCACGACCAATGAAATACCCAGCTCATTTGAAAATTTCTGTGCGAGCTCATGAGTCCATATGGAAGGTGGTGGTGTGCCGTGGTACAATAGCGTTGCCGAGTTCCGCAAATTGGGTTGTGGGCATGTGGCTACGGAGGACATGATGCAGCTCAGCGATTGATGTTCTTCATCCTCACAATCCCAAATATGAGCCTCTGATCCGGTAAAACCTGAAATTTTCAAACAGATGTCCCACGCATCTGGTGACATATTGGGGCTGTTGCTTCTCTCTGGCTCTTCGCTTAGCCACCACCCGTGCAATGTGCCAAAGATGAGTTGCACTTCAGCGGTGTCTCTGGTTGTCTCCACCAGGATTAGCTTTCCATCATCTTTGAGGAGCCTCTTGACGTGGCCCATGGTCGTCTTCATGCACTTCGTCGCGTGTAAGACCTGGGCTGCAATGACGATGTCGTACGATGCCTCCTGAAACCCTTGATCGGCGGGGTCCTTCTCAATGTCAAGTTTCAGGTACGAGATTCTGTCTTCTCAGTCCCCAAGTTTCTCTCGCGCTGTCTGGAGGAACCCTTTGGAAATGTCTGTGAAGTCGTAATGCTCAAACAGCGGCACGCTACCATTTTCGCCAGCGAGAGCCTGCAGAACACGCACAGTGCATCCCCCTGTCCCTGCGCCAATCTCGAGTATGCGTACCCGAGGCTTCTCCTCTGCGATAGCGCGAACCAGAGTGGCGGCATTCCCAGCCGATCGCTTGAAGTGCACATAATTCTGGTAGAAGTCGTACAGGAGCTGGTCCCGCATCATGAGCTCGAGCGGCGCGGCTTCCCTGCGCATGATTCGGACCAGGTCCTTTCCGATCCTGACGGAGAGTGCACCGCCGACGATGGCCCTTTCCACCTTGTCTATATGCATCTGCTTGACCCCTGGCGAGCTCGACGCCCATTTTGAGCTCCGAGGCGCCAGCTCGTTGGTTGCGGCCTGCTGCTCCAGTAGTAGCATCCATGCGTGTAACTTTTGGTGGTGCCATTCCAGGTTCGAGATATCATGAGCAGTAAGCTGTTTCAGAGCATCCGAGATCAGGTAGAATGTTGAGCGTACGAGGTCTTTGCCAATGGTCTTCTCGTCGTCGGGGGCGTCAGCTCGCAGGGAATCCACCAAAGCTTTGGAATCATTGAGGATGAAACTCCGCTTCCAGTCGGTGACGAGGCACGTTTGTTCCCTGCTTGAACTTTGCTCGGTCATATGCCCAAGGCTCTGGAAGTGCATGTCTTCAATTTCGATCACAGGGGTTCCTGAATGGGTCGAGTGAACAACGGCGGAAACATTGAAACCTTGCTTGTTGTGCTGGAGTAAAACAGCATTAGTCTCAAGCCGGCTTCCAGGGTCGTGACTGATGACCGAAGAGATGTACAAGCCCTTTATCGATCTCGGTACCGCTGCACCGACAGTTTTTTGACCGTCTTGCGATAAGCATGGATATGCCGCTTGAAACACCGAATCTAAAGTAGTCGGGTGTATGACAGGGGAGTCACGGCGGTCTTCCGCGGTTGCAGGTGTTGACTTAGCAACGACGAGCTTTGTAAGCGCACTGCCCTCGCTTTGGAGAATTTCGCCCTCAATATTCCGGAAGGCCAGGGAGTCAAATAACTCGTTAGGTTTCAACCTCTTCTTGTAGCTGTTAGCGTCGAGCCGAGTCCCCATTTTGTCTGCGGTGGATCTCAATGCGAAGTGGTTTGCTGGCCGATTTGTCCTCACAACGGATATCAGACCAGACGCGATTGAATCCCATGGGCTTTCTTTGTCTGGGGCGGAGCAGATTCTGAATCGATGGCAGTCGGGCATGAGTGATCGTTCGTCCACAGGCTCCAGGGACAGCTGTACTTCCACGCCCTCGGCATTGTCAGGTACGATGAGTGCCTTCAGTATTTCCACTTCATGGAGCAGGTATCCAGTAATAATGTTTCCCTGGGAGTCATATAGTTGACGTATTGCCTCGACAGCCATGGCAATATATCCGGAACCTGGGTACACAATCTTGGATTGGACAACGTGATCTCGCATCCAAGGCAACTCAGTGGTGCGTAGAACTAGCCGCCAGATGGGTGATCCGTCGCTTATGCCCGGGAGTGTGACTCCGAGCAATTCATGGGGGGCATGCTTCCGGAATCGATGCTCCCTGCTTATCCTTGATTCTACCCAGAATCTGGTCGCGTGATTCCAGGGGTACGAAGGTAGGTCTGGAATTGTCATCAGGTCGCTCGGCCCGGTTGGAAAGTTGATGCGGGACATATCAACGGGATATCCATATTGAAGCAGCTTCCCTGCGAGTGTCTGCGCTGTGTTGACTGCATCCCTTCCCCTGTGAAGACAAGATTCGTAGATAACGCTCAAGTTCTTCATGTTTGGTCCATTCAGTAATTGGCGTATAGGGCCGGCGAGTGTACTGTGAGCACCGACCTCCACTATGAAGTCGAGATTTTCGGTAAGTAGCATGTTGCTAAAAGACTGGGTGAAGTGAACGGGAACAAGCATGTTCTCCACCCAGTGCCCCGGGCCGAGCAGGCTCGCATCCTGGATCTGACTTCCACTTGTTGGAGAATAGAACTTAACGGAGTCAGAGAAGGATCGCTGGCCAATGTTCATGTTCTTGACTAGTAGACTGCCGTAACTTTCAGCCAGCGGAACCATATGATGGGAATGGAAGGCGGCCTGGACTTTGAGCTTTCGAGCAAAGATTCCTCTGGAATTGAACTTCTGTTCGAGAACCTCTATCGCCGCCATATCGCCCGACAAAGTGACACTTGAAGGGCTATTGAAGCATGCAATAACCACTTTTCCCGAGGGCGTGTCTGCAAGGTCATCCAGGTATGGTTTGATTTCATCTGGGCCCATGCCGACAGCCATCATGCTCCCTGGACATTTGTTGCTGGCAATGTGACCTGAATTGAGCAGTCCACGGAAGAAGGTTATGGCCATGGCTTCCTCGAGTGACACTGCTCCAGCAGTAAATGCGGCGGCTACCTCGCCGGTAGAGTGGCCAGTTACTGCCGCGGGCCTGACGCCCCATTCTTCGAGCAGGCAAACAAGTCCGATTTGAACGGCGCATGTGAGCGGCATGCTGAACTGCACTTGATCTACTCGGGACTGGCTTTCATCCCGTCTCAATTCATCTACAATTCAGATGTCAAGTCAGCTTTTTACAGTCATCCAGTCGTTAAATGATGCTACTAACCAATCAACGACCATTCGCCGCCAAAGGACCTGACAGCTTCTTGACACTTTCTGAGTGTGGCCAGGTATGTCGGGTAAAGTTCCATCAGTTCTCTGCCCATGGCAAACCATTGCGCACCTTGCCCATTCAAAACGAACCCCAGCTTCGGTAGTAGGCTGAGAGCTTGCACCGGCCGCAGATCGTTATCGGACAGGGATGTCATCAGAGTTTCCAGTGATGTTGACGGGACGGCCAGACTCCAATGAAACCTTGAGCGGCGCTGACCGAGCGTGAAAGCCAAGTTGTTAAGAGAGGCATGTCGGTTCAGCTCCAAGTGTCCGCGAAGGTCCGATGCCATTTTGAGAACGGTCTTCTCATCTCGAGCGCTTAGGAAGAACAGCTTTGACGCTACGTACTTGCCTCTACCCAAGGCTTGAGCCCTTGTTAGCGTTTCCCGCTCTGGTGCGTTCTCCATGATGACATGTGAGTTCGTGCCCCCGTATCCAAAGTTGTTGACAGATGCTCGGCGACGATAATCTGCTGGCCATGTCCCAAGTTCCAGGGGTATCTGAGCCAACCAGAGCATGTCAGTCAGCCCAATAGGCCCACGTCACAATTTCAAGTTCATGAACCTACCTCGAGTCCTAGGTTGTGGAGGTCAATGTTCGGGTTGACTCTCTCGAAATTTAGACTCGGTGCAATTTGACCATGCTCCAGGGACTTCGCCATCTTGATGACGGCTGCCAACCCAGACGCAGCTTCAGTGTGGCCGATGTTTGTCTTGACCGAAGCAACCAAGACAGGTTTCCCTCTGTGGTGAATGCCTTTGGGACTGAAAGCTCGACCGATGGCTTCCGCCTCTATCGGGTCGCCGGTGGTCGTTCCTGTACCGTGGGCCTCCACCGCAATGGTGTCGCGAGGATCTAGGCCCGCTTTCTCATAGCATTCTTTGATGAGGTCCTGTTGCGCGGCCCCGTTCGGTGATGTTATTGTTGCGCTTTTCCCGTCCTGATTCACGGCAGTCTCACGAATGACGTCACGGATTGGATCACCGTTCCTGATGGCATCCTCAAGCCGCTTGACAACCAAAGTCGCCACACCTTCTCCTCGCCCGTAGCCTTGGGCTCGGTGGTCGAAGGCGTAACACTTTCCTTCTGGTCCACATGACCTATTGCAGGGCGATTAGTATGATAAATATGTATACTTTAAAATGATGGGAGAGGACCGGAAATAACTGTGTCATTGTGATAGAAGTGGAAGGCTCACCCCAGACTGGAAAGGCTGGCAAACATATCTGGATTCAAATTGATGCAAGCTCCACCAATGATAGCGCAGTCTGACTCCCCTGCGCGCAGGCTCTGGCAGGCCAAGTGCAGGCCCATCAGCGACGTGGAACAGCCTGTGTCGATGGCAGTGCTGGGACCTTTCAGGTCGAAGAAGTGAGAAATCCGATTGGCGACCATGGCGGCATAATTCCCTGTCACAAACCCACGGGGAATACTGATCGGGTCTGACAGCAGCCGATCATGGTAGTCCTTGGTGAATGTTCCAGCGAAGACGGAGGTCTTGGACCCCGCGATATCTTCGATAGGGATGCCAGCTGTAAAACCCGACCGATTATCAGCGTATGATTCGCGTCGAGATATCAAACAAAGAGTCTCCAACGTACCACTTTCAAGCGATTCGAACGTCAGCTCGAGTAACATTCGGATCTGTGGATCCATTGCCTGGTACCGTATGTCAGGCATGGAACAGTCTCCGGCCAAAATATTTATGAACGACTTACCGCAGCTACCTCACCAGAAAAGTTGAAGAACGAGGTATCAAAAAGGGCTATATCCTCTTCCAGGAAATATCCTCCTCGGATGTGTGTCTAGTCGAATATTGATATCAGACTTTCGTTCGATTTCTTGTCTCTCCTTTTCACTCAGATCTCGTCACTTACGCTTCCAACCCTGTCAGCTTGGTCGTGGTGGAAAGCTGGCATATTGAACCTCGACTCTGGAATTGTAGACCAGGCACTTCGACCATTCGAAACGAATTCCCAGAGTTTCTCTGAGCTGCTGACCCCACCAGCGAAGCGACAAGCCATGCCAACGATGGCCAGGGGCATGGTGGACGTTTCCGACCTGTTCCCATCGCTTCTACCTGGGTCCTTGAGCAAGCCATTAGTGCTCCATGATCCGTGAGCTGCCATGATTTCAAGACTTGGAAAAGTTGGACACAAAACTCCCGATCTTCTGTTGTCGTCACGCAGGAATTGAGCGAGTGGGAATACTTAGAATCGCTCCCACAAAGTGCAGTTCGCTAAGGGAAGAGCGATACAGTGCAATTGCAACGGCCGTTTCATTTTCTCCGGTGACCGTACATTAAGATTCGCTTTGAGACTGCCACCTCAACCTACTCGGAGACACGGTGGGTTGAGCATCCCAGCAAATGAGGCTTGACCGCAGTATTCTCCGTCTTTTCGGAGTCAAATGGCCGAGCCTGGTATTTTCCATTTACAGGAAATTCCGAGGGCTTCCCGTCATGGTCTGAGACCTAACTATCAAGGATTCGAAGTGCTCCTGGACTGATGTCGTGGAACGTAGATCCGTTGCACTCGCAAATCTCCCGGGAAAGTAGACTCCGAGTACATCATTACGCTTCTACGGTGCTTAAGATTTTGGTGAGACACGATATCTCAGTTTTACTGCTCGTCAAGCATGTACTTGGTGTCGCAAGTTTCATAGCTTGGCACCGGAGTTGCTGAGGTCCAAACCGAGGAACTCAAAGCACACCCATAGCTAGGAAGCCCATGGGATAGACTTATTCTTCCCAGTTTGGAAACACTTATATAGAACTAGAATGGTCCATCTTAGAGCTGACGGGAAAGGCAGAACATAAAATTGACCCAGCAGCAGCAAGCAGCGACCAACTTCCCGTAGTTGCAGATCGGCCCGATGGATCGACATTCGTCGAAGGTGACTGCCAATGATGCGCTCATGGCACTGCTATGGCGTTGCATTATCCGGTCCCGGCCGGAAGCAGCTGGACCATCCAGCCACGCATACGCCGCTGATTCGATTTCCCCGTTGGACACAACGCTCGACGGCCGGGCGCTGATCGGCGATCCGCTACCGTGGAGCTAGATGGGAACAGTCGTATTCATCGCCACGACATCAATGCCAGTCGGTGAGCTGATCAGCGATGCGACCAGCCTACCTACCATAGCGAGGACAATTCGACAGTCTCTGTCCTCCATCGACCGGAAACAGGCTCTGCAGGCTTTTGGTCTCGCCGCCGGTCTTCGCGACTACGAGGGGAGCCTCCGGTACCCTTTTGCCACGTTTGACGGAGCAGAGGTCTGTATCACCAGCTGGGTCGGATTAAGTGCCTTTGACATCAGCTTCGGTGACAAGCTCTTCTCCGGACATGGACGGCCGGATCTCATCCGGCCGCCGACACGGGAGTTTGATGCGATATGTAGGAGGTGCGTGGTGTTGCCGATGCAGGCATCAGGGGGCTTCGAGGTACTTATCTCATTGATTAAAGAAGAGATGGAAGTACTGGAGACAGACGCAGAATTCACGGAGTATTTCAAGGTAGTCGGCAATTAGATGTGCTGGCGGGGTACTCAAGCTCTTTGCAGGAGACTTCGTCGGCAGGTAAAATGCGTCTATTGAAAGAAATTTGATTTTCACCTCACCAATAGACACCGAGAATACCAATCTTCTTCACTTTCAACCACACCTCACGGGATGCCAAAGCCATGGGCTAGACACTTCTGCAGGAATCCGTCAGGGTCGTACTTGTCCCGAATCTGAGTGAGTCGAGCCAAGCTCTTGCCTCCGCCATACGTTTCGAAGGGTCGTTGAGTCGGACTGGCGTCATTCAGGTAGATGAAATCGTGACTTAACCCCAGCTTGGTAGTTTCTTCAATGATGATTGACCCAGCCTTTTCGACGAAAGAATTGACTGTCTCATCGTCAGCGGCGTTGTCCCAAGTACACGCTATCAATCCGACTGAACAATTTTTTGTCAGTTTCACTTTGTCAAGACTGAACCCTCAGCGGCTCATGAATTATTTTCATTGCAAGCTCCCTGAGGATTTGATAATTAGTGTGGTCTACTTACCAATAAATGTTCCGGAATCCGGGTCAAGACCAATCACATTCCCACCACTTCGTTGAGAGGCAACAAGCCAATCCCTTGAAATCGGCTGATATGTCAATGCAGCGACAGCCCCGGACACATTCGCAAGTTCCGCAAATGCCAACTCGACGACAGTCTCATTGGCGATCTGTATTGCGCGAGGGTCAGCTCGGACGCGCCATTTCCCGGTGCCACCGACACGATGGCGCTCGTGGCGACGTTTGGGTCGTCGACCCCGCCCCCGGGGATCATGTATGAATCGAGGGCTGAGAAGAACTGCGTCTGAGCCGACGCATTGTTGCCGTCCCAGATGGTTCCACCAAAGTAGGCGGATGTCATGGCGAAAGTCTCGAGATCGAAACGGGTCACGGTGCCAAAATTGTTGTGGCCGCCGCGAAGCGCCCAAAACAAGTCAGCATACTCGCCGTCAGCTGTTGCCTCCACGATGCTGCCGTCGGCGAGGACCACTTCGTATGCTATGACTGTGTCGCAGCCCCAGCCATGGGTGCTGCTGAAGCAGCTGATCCCACCGCCGACGAGGTAGCCGCCAACACCGACAGTTGGATAACGGCCGCCGTTGACAGCCAGGCCATACTGTGCTAGCCAGTGGTAGACATCCCGCCAGACCTGACCAGGTCCAATACTGGCGATTTCTTGGCCCTGCTTGAACTCTCGTGCGTTGAGCCTGGATAGACTCACCATGACTCCAGGCTGGACGGACTGCACGCCAGGGACGGGCATGTGCCCCCCTGAGAGGACTGAGAAGTGAGACGCGGACTCTCTGATAATTCTCATAGCCTTGCTGGTGTCTGCCGCAGATGAAGGCTCGAACACGCAATCTGGCGACAAGATGCAGGTGTCGGAATATATTGCTATACGCACCATCAGATTTACTGCCCATGGAAGACAAGAGTCGTAAGTGAACTGGAACCAACCGGTAGAGGCATTCTGATAATCAGCTCCGCCTGGCAAGAGGACACTGCCGGGAAATTCTGATGTGAGTCTCCCACAGGCTAAATTCGCAGGATTAACATTTGTCCTGGGCTGAAGACTTGATGCTAAATCTGCAAGGTGAGCCAGAAAGCCTAACGCAACGATAGGAGGTCTCTTCGCAGTAGCTGAAGTTGTCTGGAGTCCACTGAAAGGGGGATTCAGGGCCTGCAATAAATTTTCCCGTCCTCTAGAAAAGTGACCTTTCTCTCTTGATATACTTACACTAATGAGCTAATTTCCAGAGATGTCCAACTCCCTCGTGCCAGCCCATTGCTAGCAGCAGGCTATGCACCTTTCAGCCGCCAATAGTACACTCAAGCCGCAAAGCTTGATTACGGAGCTCCGGGATTAATGGAAAATCCTTGAAAGGTGATCGTGTAGTCCAACTGTTGAGTCCGATCCCTCAGGATTTGAGGCGTCGTCGGACGAGGAGGCCCCTCATGTGTATGTCAGCTGCCCTGACCTGAATGCAGGAATCCGTCCGTGGCTGACAATTTAGTCAAGTTCGTGCTGGTCCCTGGTGGAAAGTCGCAGAATCGTGCAGGCGTTCTAGACGGTCCCTTACCTAGAGTGGTGAAAAGGAGGAAAAAGAGGATGAGGCCTCTGGTCGAGCAAGCTAGTGAGGGATCACGTCAGAGCCGGCGATCTAAAAGCCTCATTTCGTCACACTGCAAGGTCGGATGGAGTGAGGAACGGATCTTCTGCCATCCCCTTACCAAAAGGCCTAGGTACTGTCGTTGTATCTGGGTACGGAATACAGCACACTACCTCAACCCGCGATCCGATCTGCCCCTCCTCAGGTAGCCGGTACACTCCCCAGAACCCAAGTCCACTGATTGTACTCATACCCGGTGACGGCGATTCAAAGGTCAGCAGAATGATAAGACCCTCACAAGATCTGGGCGACGCCGGTTTCCAACATCATGGGCTTAGTCACGTACTTTCATTACGTTTCAAGGCTTCAGGGGACGTTTCTCGTCGTAATGGATTGATCCATACCTAGATAGTTGATTTGCTTCAAGCGACGGCAATCTGAGCACTTTGAGTACATCCCGCCAGAACCGATGCACTCAGGAGACGAAGAATACAAATTAAGAAAGATACAACGGAATCAAAGAGAACTCCATCTTGATGTCAGGAATAGCACCAAATTCCAACGTTCCCTTACCACCAAGGTTGGTCGGTCTGGCGAACAGTGTTTGTTCCGCAGTGGATCTCGCCTCCGAGAATGTGGTGTGTGTCCCAATCATCCATAAATGTGACATCCAACCCTGCCTTTGCATAGACAGAGATGGCCGCCTCCTCAAAGACATCCTTACCATCCACCAACGGTCCCCACGGCTTCGGCGACAGGTAATCTATCTCGCTGAGCACGACGCCGTTGATCATCCCGGGATAGTACGCGCCGACCTTGAGAGGCTCTGAAGCTGTACTACTACCTTCGGTGTCATTTGAAAAGACGGCTGGCAGGTGATAGATCTCCTCGTCTGTGACACCGATGGCCTCTTTGGGGACCGCGATGTTCGCCGAGATGCGGCGCGCACACGCCGCGTTGACGTTGAGCATGGCCTCGTCGGCGAGCAGTTCGTCGACGGACAACTGCGGAACCGTGTACGTGGTGTTACCAGAGTCGTTATCGCCACCGCTGTTGAGATCATCCGTGATGGAATCGATTTTCAACAGCGTCAGCGGCTGGACCGCGCCCAGGTCGCTGGTCCGTGAGAACGCCTTCGTGGAGCCCAGACCCTTCCTTTGCACGCCCCGCAGGAGTTCGAGGCCGGCCACTGGGTCGGTTATCACGATGGCCCAGCCGCGGGTTGTGTTGGCTGGCACGAACTGTACGAACTCGTCCACGTGGCCAACTTTGAGCCAACCCGTATCCAAGATAAGGGGGCGCTGTATTTCCTGCGCTTTCATGTACTCGAGGTCATGGTGAGTTTTGTTCCCGCAAGATCCCATAATGATCCGGCCGGCCGGGTATTTTGTGCCGTTGTGCTCATACGGAGGGATCGTTTCGAAGTTCCCCATGGAGCTGATCCCACCAGAAGGACTACCGGGCTGGTGCACAGCGCCCACTCCGGTGCCCCGAAGGTATGTGAAGACTTGTTTTCCAGCGTCACGTCGGTCCTGGCCGGAACGGATCATGATTCGCATCGATATCGTCCCGTTCGGTCCTGGCATGCTGGTGTATCCTGGCTCTACAAACTCCTGGGCCCATTTGTCGCTACTGTGGTTGAACACGAAAACAGGCTTCGCGATGCCCTTGGATGCCACGACGCGGGACAGCTCTTCAACGAAGTTTTCCTGCAAGTCTGGCATCCAAATGCTTTCAGATACCGTCAAGACCTGGTCTACACGCTGGAGATGGTTGTGAGACAGGACAGGGGCAACTCGGAGCATCACTTTGTCGGTTGAGTTGGTAGTACCGTCTGTGACGGAGAACGTGACCGTGGTGCGACCGTCCCAGCCTCCTGGCCGGCGTGTGTCCCGAGCGTCGATACCCAGCTTCAGACCAGCCTTGAGCTGGCCGGACGTGAAGGTAGTGTTCGCACGAACAAAGTTCTACCTGTTTGCCTCGTCGCGTCTGAAGATGCGCACGTATTTGCTCGATAAAGGGTTGGCGGAAACAATGCCAACAGCATAATCATCCAAGTCGGGAATCGGGAGGGTTTGGATGGGAGCAAGGTACTCGGCCTGCCGCAGGATGTCATCGGAGGCATCGTTGCAGGCTTCTAGCGCCTCATTGCTCAGGTCTCGGTCCAGGCATCCTTTCCATTGACATCGGTGTCACTGGTGACGTCCACAACACCGTCGCGGTTTGTATCAGCCCTGATGTCGGCTTTGAAGCCCAAGCACACGGGCGAGAGAAGAGCTAGATCATGATGAGCGTTGATGACAATACAAAGGGGCTCTCTGCGACATACCAAACATAGCAAGATCGATCCGGTGTTGCATGGTCTTGGTCTGTATGAACGAATGTTGTTGTATTTATACAGACTAGAAAAGAGTAGGCCCAGACTGGTAGTGTGTTGCCTTGAAGTCTGGGTTGCAAAAGGTCCAGAACGTTGGCCAATGTTTGAATAATAATTGTCGGGGAGTCAGTCCTGGTCAGCGGCTGTCGCATAGTGCAGTCAGATTATGATATTCGGGAGCCTCACACATTCCGCTCCTTCTTCACAAGCTGCTCTTTCCATTCACCCAGAGCTCCTTCTCATTTGAGCCGTTCAAACCCCCCTTGAGCGGCTTATTTTCTGAGCAGCTTATCAACAGCTCTTTCCCTGTGAGTGAGTGGAGCATATGCGGTTTGGGAAGAGGTATATACCGCTTGTGAGAGGCTTATGACAACAAGCATCTGACGGTACTGCGCAATCTTTTCAGATGCCCAGAGGGTACTGCAGTCGACGGGCCAATAATCCGTTACGGGGCGGACACGATGATATTAAACGGGCTATGAGAAGAGAGGTGTCATGTGCCTTGGTCCTATCGTGTCTCTAGACGAGCAAACTCGAACGAGCAGAAGTGTTCACATGCTATTTTCAGATTCTCACGAGCCCAGTTTCTTTGCCTCACTTCAAGTTCTAGCTATGACGCCAGCCCAAACCTTAAACCCTGCATCAAATACGACCATTACTTCGTAGAGCATTCAGTGAATCGAACGTTGATCGGAGCTTTCTTCCACATGATATAAAAACGAGACGCAGCCTCCCAGTCGAGACTCTGGTCCACAAGTTCCCAGTCATACTGGAAGACCAACTTGGCCAGGCACAAGTTCATCTCCATCCAAGCAAAGCTAATTGAGACATTTAGTGCTATTCGAAGGCACGAAATCGGGTTGGGTTCTTACTTTCTGCCCAGGCATGCTCGGTATCCGAGTGAAAAGGGCTGGCTGGCCTCTTTCGTATCGGTGCAATCCGGATCGAGCCACCGCTCCGGTTTGAAAGCCAGCGGGTCGTGGAAATTGGCCGGATCATGGATCACCGCCCAAGCGCTGGTGAATACCTCGGTCTGCAGCTGTCAGCTTCGAAGCTCACACCCATTGGGGCAGTCATGTCTTACCCCAGCAGGGATGTAGTTGCCGTCGATGACCACGCCGGGGGAGATGCGCGGGAAGCCCTGGGCTCCGGAGGGATGGATGCGCAAGGCCTCATGGATGACGGCTTGGAGATATGGCAGCTGTGACGCAGCGGTGGCGTCTATCTGCTCGTACGATTGAAAACGGCTTCTGACCTCAGACTTTAATGTGTCGAGAGCTGCTGGTGTCTTCAAAAGGTAGTACACGGCTGATGACAAAGAGTGTGCCGTGGTCTCACCTCCTGCGATTCTGTAGCATCGATGTTTAATCACTCATATCTGCTTGGGAGGGTAGATGTGATCTCACATAAGAGTGGACGCATGTGCTGTCAGTTGCTCCCGCGAAATCTCGCCATCTTTGACCTTGGAGACCACATTGGTTAGAAAGTCGTCGCGGGTGTTGACCGTATCGAGTCGCCTAAGTCTTCTGCGTGAGAACGTTGTGCTCTAGTTGAAGAATAGCATTTGCTTACTTCTGAACTTTGGCCCTACTGTATCCGACGTGCTTGCGACGGACACGAGCAGTTAGGGGGGCTAGGAAATATCGGGAAAGTATTGATAGTAACGGTAATCTTCGCAGGTTGTCAAGCAAGGTGACTTCAACCATATGATCCAGGATGAGTTCGAGCCAGAAATGGTGATTTTCTGCGGGACGTTTGTGATCAGACGAGTTACCGAGATACACAAAGTTTTGCTCTGGGTATTTGACGCAGGAAGTCTTGGATCTTACCATTTTCAACACAGCCAAAGCTCTCACCAAACGCCATCTCACCCAGGATATCAAACGTGACCATCTCGAACCAGCTGACAACGTTGGCCCCTCGGGGGCCGCGCTGGCTGACAGGGCCGATTTTGGAGATGAAGTCATCCCAACAGCGTTGCACAATATGCTCCTGCGCTGTGAGGGCTTTGGTGGAGAACGCAGCGGCGAGGGACTTTTTCTTTCGGGCGTGCTCGGTGGGGTTCCTCTCTGATCCAATACAAGGGACGTCGAACCCAGCCCCGAAGACTTCATAAAACTCGCTCTTGATCACGTGAGACTGCCCGGCCGGCGGGAAGCCGTAGATTGCTTGCCAGGATGTGACAGATGAGAAGGCGAGCTCGTTGGGGGAAATTCGGAGGACGGGACCTAGGGATCCAAGATGGATTGATGAGAGACGGTGGCCCTGGCATGACTCTGACATGGAAATCTCAGAAACATACCGTACATACGATGCTGCTCCTCCAACACTCTGTGCCAGCGGCCGCCCATGGTGTGCCAGAATCGCCAGAGCTGCCATCAGCATTGTATCAGTTGTACGTTTCATAACCCTTCAATGTCTGGTGGTACACCAACCAGTGAGACCCGGGCCCAGAAAGGCCCAGGGAACTTCGCCAGCGGGTGGAGGTACAGGTTGTAGAAAGAAGATACAACCACGTACGTCAATGCCTAGACTCGTGAGTCGTGTCAGCTCACTGCATCAAGGTCTCAGTCAGGCTCTGGCGGAGAGTCCAACGCACCGCTATCACCAGGCACTCTGTAACCAGCATGTTTGTGGCCATGGTGAGGATGCCGATAGGTCACGGATAGAGAGGCACTTGGTCGCCGAACACTGCAGGGTGTTCAAGCCTCTTGATAGGGGGCTCATCAATGTGAGAGAGCAGGATGCAACACCGAGGCCGAGCATTAAGGTTTCCGAGTAGCCCCTTCGCTAAGCGCTACCCCTCAACTGAGTCAACCGTGCGCATACCCGTTAGTAGAATATCGTTAGCTTCAGTTTTCTCATCTTGTTACACACAAGAACACTACTAGACTACATGGATGGCTTGGTCGACATTACAAACTGGAAAACACAGATTGTCTCAACCACATCTGCTGTGCAATTGGATATGCAGTAGATCGACCAACCACTCAACCTTCCTGTCCCAGCACCCTCGGCTATTGCTCAATTCAGTATTGACCGAATGAAACAGGCTGACTTTCGCTCATGGATCTACTGCCGAAGCCGAAGGGCTTGCTTTTCGACGCGCACATGGCACAGTGGCCCCAATTCAGATCATCGTCTCAGCCATACGTCACCACGATTGTCTGCAATGATCCAAGGTACCAGCCATAGTGAATCTGTAGTAACAGTGTTATTACATACTTGCACATTCCCATGCAGTTGGCCTTGTTGCCTCGCAGAAGAGAACTGGCAGAAGAGATCCTGTCAAGGCAAAACTATCTCTAATCTCCTCTTACTTTTCCAACCACTATCTAGAGAGAGCGCTTGCGACTAGCACACTTCTGCTGGCAATGGCGCTCGACGAGATTTTCGAAACCTGTATTGCAGCAACACTGACACATTGGAAACTGTGTGTGTTCTTGGTGTTTATTTTTGTCTGCCCTGTGACTTTTCTAGTCACCAACGTAATATCATACATCGGCTTGAATGATTCCAAAGATGGGAGAGAACCACCGCTATACCCCCATTGGATTCCATTCCTGGGCAACTGGATATCCTTCTTGCTTACCCGTAAGACCTTCGTTGAAAATGTCTCGTGAGTTCAAGATCTTTCCCCGCGACCAGGTCGCCGGTCAGTGACTGAACATAAGTGCAACAGCCGCCGATTTGGTGGCAGGACTCCAGTTACCGTCAGAATAGGTCCCGCCAAAGCATACCTGTTGACCCAGACCGAGACATATGGCCCGCTTCTCAGGGCAACGCGTTTTTGCACCAATAAGGCCTTTGCCGTGCGTATAATGAAGCAGATGTTCGGCACGCCCAACAGCGCAATACGTACGTATGTATCGAGACTCATCAAGAGAGAAAAGACAGCTGATCTAGGCGCTGCTGGCAGACATCTACCAAAATGACAAGAGTGGCATAGGTATCATTCCTCTACCAGGGTCGACAGTACCACCCCATCTCCGAGTATGGCACCAACAGCACAAGACAGCATTGCGATTCCTTCAAGGCGATGCTCTCAAAGCACATGGGCTCGTTTCATAGAATATCTCTCTGCCGAGCTCAACAAATTCACCCTCCCCGGGCCCGAGCATGCAGAATGGGTTCAGGTCGATGACTTCTACAAATGGTGGACCCATCGCCTCTTCACAGCGGCCATTACCGCGCTACGCGGCCGCACCTGGTCCGCCTGAATCCAAATTTCGTCGAGGACTTTTGGGAGTACATTGGCCACACTCCCACCATCTCCAGATTCTACCCACATTTCCTAGCCCCGCAGGCATACAGAGCGCGGCAGCGGGTGCTTGATGCTATCAAGCGGTGGCACGCGTATGCGAGAGAACACTCGGACTACCGTCAAAACGGGCCTGAGGACCCGGACTGGGACGAGTACTGGGGCAGCAAGTGTCTCAAGGTCAGACAGCAGTGGGGTCAGGATACTGGTGAGATGGACGATGATGCTCTGGCGAGCGACGACTTGGCCGTGATCACAGCGTGAGTGAACCGAAACTGCTCCCAAAACTTGTCGCCTTGGCTGATCTTCCTACCGTGACCAGGACGAGCGCGAACGCCCTGCCCGCATCCTTCTGGAATCTCATTGAGATCTACAACGACCGCAATCTCCTGGGCCGAGTCCAGCACACGTTATCAGAGACTACCGTGGCCAGCGACGGCAACACAGCCGCCGAGACCCTCCCACTCCGCTTCGACCTGGCGCACACCCTGTCCTCCCCCCTCCTGCAGTCCGTCTACGCAGAGGTCCTCCGCCAGCGTGTCTCGCTCTTCCACAACCGCGCCCCCACCGTGGGCGACTACAAGCTCGGCCCCTTCACGCTGCGCAACGGCGGCCTTGTGTGCGTGCCCACCAACATCGCGCACAACTCCGAGAAGGCCTGGGGCCCCGGCCGCACCGAGCGCCCGCTGGGTGAGTTCTGGCCGGAGCGCTTCCTCGTCCCGGCGGACGGCAAGGAGGGCGAGGGGAACCCCGACACCGCCGAGGTCCGCTTCTCGACTGAGGGCCTCGACGGCGCCTGGATCCCTTATGGTGGTGGCGCGTTGATGTGTCCCGGTCGGCATCTGGCAAAGATCAAAATGCTCGGGAGTGTTTCTGTGTTCTCCGCGTATTTCGATATGGAGGTTCTCAATGGTGCGCCATGTATGGATGATGCTTTCTTTGGGATGGGCTCACAGCCCCCTGGGGAGCCTGTTCCTGTGCGGCTGCGCAGGAAGGTTGGAGACGTTGGGGTTTCAGCTTCTGGACGGAAGAACAGGGCGCCGTCTGTGTGGTTTTTTCACGAGCAGTATCATTGATGTCTTTTCTTGGTCTATTTTCTGTACTTTTCGAATTATACGAGTTGTGTATCCTCCTTTATACAGGTTTGATTCTAGAAATAAATCACCCAACCCGACTTGCAGACAGTGGATAAGTGAGCTGATGAGATTTTATCATTCACTGGCTATGAATACGTACAAATCGCGGACTTTCACCATTCAAAACAACCTTAAAGCCACTTCTCCAGTTCGCGGTCAGTCCACTCCCACAGTCTCCTCGCAAGGTCCTCATCCTCAGTATACCGAGTAGACACCCCAGAGAGACAACCCGGAGGCTCATAGAACCCCCCGTTCCGGATCCCACCCCTCGGCGCGGCAGCACACCAAAGCTGCGTCGCGACAGCCTCCCCGGGCGGCGGCAGCCCGCCCTGTCCCAGCATGGCCGACAGCCAGATGACGGCGCGGTGGGCCGCGCCCTGGCCCGAGACGAGGTCGGTGGCGACGATGCCCGGCGTGACGCTGACCGAGGTGACGGACGGGCGGCGGCGGGCCAGCTCGCGCGCGTACAGCAGGTTGGCCAGCTTGCTCTGGCCGTAGCGGATCATGCCCCCCCATGGCCAGCATGCTCTGCGGCGTGCGCAGCTCGTCGAGGCGCACGCCGCCCGAGGGGGCGCCGCGGAGGCCGGTGCTGGTGAGCAGGACGATGCGGGCGTCTGCGTTGGGGCCGGGTGGGGAGGCGGGCGGTTGGTTGGTTCTCCTGGCCCTGTTGTTCTTCTCCATGAGGGGTAGTAGGATCTTGATGAAGAGCGCGTGGGCGAGGTGGTTCGTGCCGAACTGGACCTCGTAGCCGTCCTCGGTCAGTGCTGGGGGCTTGTTCATCACCCCGGCGTTGGCCATGAGGATGTCCAGACGTGTCTGCTCAGTGGCGATCCTGGCAGCTGCGGCCCTAACTGATGCCAGGCTGGCTTGGTCACATTGGAGAAAGGTTATCGATGTGTTGTTGGAGCCGGACTGGGTGGCCTCTTTGATGACACCTTCCGCTGCCTTGGCATTTCGGCCTGTGAAGTATATGTGGCCTGGCTGGCCTTGAGCGAAAGCCACAACACTTCGTGCTCCTAGTCCTGCAGTGCCTGCGGTCCACCAGGTCAGCGTGGAAAAAGAAAAGTGGGTTACTAGTAGTTCACTCGATTGATCCTTACCTCCGGTGACGAGAATGACCTTTCCTCGAACGTCACCCATATCCATGTTGAAATGAATTTACAACTCCTTCAGACTGTCATCAACTCCACAAAAGTTTGGGGCTCAGAGGGTGATTAACGAAACCTGGATGGCGGGAAGATCTCCTCGATTCCTAGACCGTCTACAGACTGGCTTCTACATGTGCTCAAACGCCAGAGTAATAAACGGGACTTCAAAATATTCACTCGCAGCCAAGACACGTCGAGTCCAACGAGGACAGAAGAGCCCAAAGCCCGCAATAGATTCCAAATCCAGCCTCGTACCAACCAAGACACCTAGCTCGAGTCGCGAGGGACAATGGCGTCGACGGTACCACCACCACCCTCTGGGCGACACAAGGACCGGACCCGATACAGCATCGGGGCGATCCGCCTCTGCGTGGCCGCCGCCCTGCCGTACATGGCGTCCCAGCGCATCGACCGCGACACCGCCTTCATCGAGTCGGCGAGCGAGTGCAGCGCCTCGAGCTGCAGGCCGATCAGGGCCCCGATCAGCGCGTCCCACTCCCGCGGCGAGTCCACCTCGTAGCTCCCCAGCACTGCCGGCCACGGCGGCGCGCCACCGTTGCTCCTGCTGTCGCGGTCTGCGGCGCCACCAGCCCCGGCGGCAAGCATCTCCCCAGCAGCGCCGGGGTCGCGTTCTGCCGCTGTGTGGTGTGGCAGCAGGCGCCCCGTGTACTCGGCGACGATCTGCTCGCTCAGCCCGGCCAGCTTGTCGGTGAGGAACTTGAGGATGGCCATGTGCTCGGGGCGCCCCCTGCAGCGCTGGCAGTCGAGCAGCGCCTGGCCGTAGCGGAGGGCCTCCTTGTGCGACGCCAGGCCGGCGTCCAGGCCCTGGCTCGCCACCGTGCTGTGGCCTGCCTCGAGCTCGTCGATGAGGAACACCACCGGCTGCAGGCAGCGGCACTCGGGCAGGGTGCTGCTGTCCTCAGCTGTGCTGCCGGGGCAGACGGCCGGTTCCGAGTGGTGGGCGAGTTGCAGTGTAGGGCTTGTCGGTTCCACGAATGACCGGCTGTCTTGCCCACCCAGGAGATCGGTCAAGCCGTTTGGCGGTTGTGATACTTCGCTCGCCGGGGTGGGGCCGGAAGGCAGCACAGAGTCTTGGGGCGCTGAGGTTAGTCCTATGGGGTCATCCGGCGGTGTGGCCAGCCTAGGATCCCATCGTTCCACGTCCATGTTGTCTATGAGGGGCCACTGTTGGAGATCATCCGGATCGTTCAGACTCGAGATGTGTCCATGCTGGTCCGCGTCTGTGTAAAGGCCGAAAATTGTAAACGTTGGCTCCGGCTGGCTATGGCCTGGATCGGAAATCCCGGCGCTGTCGCTGAACGGTGTTGAAAGCCTATGAGCTATTCCCTTGATGGCAGAGCCTTCAATGTCGACACTCGTTTGCTCACATTCCAACGGTTGGTGGCTCTGTTGCTCCCTCGACCTGGATGGAGGCGAAACCTTTGCAGCAGCGGGCCTTTGCGATGGTCGTGGCACAGTAGGGCTGTCTGGAATCGGCAGCAACTCCTCGCTGGCAACCGGCTCACGACGGCGTTTCTTCCCACCTTCCGCATAGACGCAATTCCTGTCGAGTGCCTTGCATCGGCTACATCCCGTCTTTTCACCTGTGCACCTAAGCTGTATCCAAGGCCTGGGTCAACCGGTGAGTGTGGTTAGAGTATGGGGTGGCGACCGGGACAGGAGAGAGTCTCTGACTGATTTCGGCTTGACTTACCTTCTTGGCGCGACAAGTATTACATGCTTGTTGTACGATTGGTCGAGATGTTCCAGGGTCAAATGCTCGTCGGATAGGAGCGTCGTTCTTGTTGCTCACATTCAGACGCCAGGTTTCCATCATCTTGGCTTTGATACGCAGGGCTTCCAGTGAAAGAAACTGACTACCCAAATTGACCAGTTCAGGTACCTGGACCCGAATCGAGTGGGCCCAATGTACTCCCATTTAGAGTGCAAATTGGAGGCCACTGAACTTGTTAAATAATCATCATGGATGCCAGTCTTCTTGTAAGTCTGCTTTCCTTCGCTCTCAACCCAAGGCATCTGCCAACGCGATGGCTGACCCTGCATCTCGCCAGAATCACCATGCTTCAGCTGTGTACAACGTGCCGATCTATACTCCAACCCCAGCGCCACGTGCTCAGGTCTTATCCGTGCGTTGTCCTCATTTGGTAGGACTTGGTCTTGTCGTACCAAGGGTCATACAAGCCAGGCTTTCTGGCGTCAACATCGAAGCACAGGCAGAGTGTGACACAAGGAATAGTCACAACAGCGAATCGGAAACCCTGCACATTAGCTTTGTTTCTCATAATGCAGTGGTACTTGATCTCGCGTTGCAAAAATGCCCGGGTTGGTCCTGTGGGTTCCACGGTGCTGGCCATTTCCCTATTGATAGGGTGAGAGGAGATGTTGATTAATGCAGCTAGTTTGCACAGCATGCTATAGCATGGATCAGACAAATTGTTTTGGACAAGATCACAACCACAATTCGATGATCTAATCTGCATTATCTATCCATACAAAATCGTGCTAATGGTCTATGCTCCAGTGAAGCCGCAGGCTCACCTGCGAACCACTTGCCGAAGTGAGGAAGTAGGTAGTTTCGGTGCAAGGCTCTCTAAAATTGCTGGATAAAATCGGCCTCACTACTCCATAGTTCTGCCCTGAGTGAGAAGGCAGGACTGCCGTCGAAGCCGTGCGGTACACCATGGTAGACATTGGATTGCACCTCGACGTCGTGCGACGACAGCCTCGCTGCGAAGGTTGTCGATTCGTCGCGGAAGAGATCCAGTCCCCCAACGTCTATACAGGTTGGAGGGAGGCCGCTTAGATCATCGGCACGGGCGGGGATGGCCGCATATGGTACCGTAGCTGTGTGACAGTAAGAAAATTCCATGTCATTTCGTATTTCTCTTGCCTCGCGAAGTCGTTCATCACTCCCGAACGTGTGGTTGTAGTATATCTTTCCTTGTGAATGAAGTTAATGCTCTTCCTCGCCCGAACAGCACCGTGATCCCCAGTTATGCATGTATGGACAGCCTCCAAAATGTTCATCACCATAGTCTGCCGGCGACAGTTCAGTGCACCATAGAATGAGGTCAAGGAGGGGTTCATACATGGCTAGCTCCAATCAGATACCTACGGTTCATCCATGACCATAGCGTGTAGTTGGCTAATTCTTGCCTGTGTCCAAGTATTCCGAGACGTCTGGTGTTGTAGCCTCACATCAATGTGGAACAGCCTCGGTATCCAAGCAACGAGGCTCCACGCGGTGTCATTCAGGTGAAAATAAATGAGTAACTATGGCAAGGGTGGAATTATGGACATACTTCGAGATTCCAATGAAACAGGATGCTAGACTACGGAAGAGATCGCCCAGTGAAAGACTAGTTTGCAATGAATGTGACTCGAGAATCGAATGCGGAATTGTTCCAAACAGCCACGTTTTTGAAATTGTGGAAACCAGTTGCGTGACCCACTGAGACTTTTTTTATTTGTAAATATGATCAGAATTTATTCAAGTGTCTAGTAATTAGCAACAGGACTTCATTATCACCTCTCTCACGCGGCCACTAACCCTGTGCCAGTACACCTAAGTACTTTATTGTGAACTTCACGACTGATAATCCTTTTACTTTTCGTTTACGTTTCTTTGCATGGGCTTTTCTGTCTATTCAAGCATATCGGTTCTTCAGCATTGTTACTTCAACGTTCATTGTTGGTGAATATCCAAGCGAGATCCCCCGACATTCGACCTGGCGCGCCATTATCCAATCAAACAGGTCAGCTACGTGGAGGAACCCACCTGACACCTGAATAATGAACTATTTACTCCTTTAATTAACGCAAGTAACTGAATGATTTCCAACCATGTCAGTATTTGACAGGCTGTGGTGGGTAGTAAGCCGATCAAGCATCCGGTGACACGGGATATTCGAGCGGGGGACGGTCCGGTGCTTCTTCCGCCATGCCGGGTAGCGACATGGTTGCGAAGACCCATGTAGGGCTATGAGAACATTTGCGGACAATTAACCGGAATGAATCATGTGAGCAACCACACCACATAGTCATGTCTATATGAGACGGTCTGGAAAGAGGTTGTGGTGTGTTGGAGTAGATCCAGATGACTTGAAACGCGAGGCAAATCAACCATTAATCTAGACTTACCTTCTAAGACAGAAGTTATTCGCCGGATCCGAGTCATATTTCACCGTTTGAAAGACGACTCGCCATCTTAAATAAATACAAACTTCACTGCATTTCAGTTCTATATACCGGACTCAATATAAGTCCCCGGTGGTCACGGATCTCCATATTTAAACTAGCGGTAGCACATCTCCTGTACAAGACAGTACCTTGGGTTCGACGAAACAGCAATCGCCACGCAAATATGGGTAGATTGACCGCACCAGCGAGACTCCCATTGCAAAATGGAACCACGGCTACGCTTCTCAATGAGCCACACGCCGTCGGAGAAGATCCCACAACCGTTCTGTCTGAGTTGTATGCTCCCTCCGTAACGGCCAAGCTGTGGTCTGTTGCTCAGCAGACATTACAGATCGACACCAGCCCACCTATACTGTTTCCGGAGTACACTCACCCGGGTGGCAGCAAATACGTCTACCGCGACCGGAAATTCTGGACATCAGGCTTCTTCCCAGGGAGCCTATATCTCCTCCTAGAGCGACAGGTCCGATACCCCCACGTCTTCCAACAAAAGCAACACCCCCCATCCCCCCTCCACCCCCCTCCATCTGGAGCACGCCTGCACCTGGTGGACCGAGAACCTCCACGACAACGCCCACCTCGCCGCGACCCACGACGTCGGCTTCATGACCATGCCCTGGGCCCGGCCGGCCTGGGAGCTCCGCCGCGACGCCCGAGCCCTCGAGACCCTCAGGGCCGCCGCGCACACCCTGCACGGCCGCTGCAGCGCCGCCGTGGGCGCCATCCGCTCGTGGGACTCGTGCGTCACGCGCGCCTACAGCTTCCGCGACCCGGCCAGCGAGTTCCTCCTCATCATCGACAACATGGTGAACCTCTCCCTGCTCTTCTACGTCGCGGCCCGCACGGGCGACGTTGCGATGCGCGACGCCGCCGTACGTCATGCCCGCACCACGCGGCGCACGCACGTCCGCGCCGACGGCACCACGGCGCACCTCGTCGTGCTGGACCCGGAGAGCGGCGCGGTGCGCCAGGCCCTGACGAACCAGGGGCGGCACCACGGGAGCTGCTGGTCGCGGGGCCAGGCGTGGGCGGTCGCCGGGTTCGCCGAGGCGTGGGGGTGGACGGGGGAGGACGAGTTCCTGCAGACGGCGATCCTGTGCGCCGATGTATTCCTGGAGCGGATGCCGGAGGGCGATGACGCGGTGCCGCCTTGGGACTTCGAGCCGGCGCCGGCTGGGGCTGAGGACAAGGACGGGGCACGAAGAGAGGAGAAAGACAAGAAGAATGAAGTGGAGCCGACGGACACCAGCGCGGCGATGATTGCCTCGTACGGGTTCCTGCTCATCTACGAGGCGCTTAAGCTGCGGCGAGGTGCCCACGCGCAGAAGTACCTCGATGCGGCTCTCAGAATCACGAGCGCGGTGTGCAAAGGGTATCTCACACCGCGCGCCGAGTTCGTGCCCCAAGGTGGCACACCTATCCCATGGCCAGGTGCATGGCTCTCGGGCAGATAGATTCCAGAGGCCTGGATTCTGGGGATAACCACTCTGTAATACTAATATATGAACTCCTCTTACTCATCATCTCAAGATGAACGGACGCGTTGTGTCCGCCACCGGATCCGAGGAGTGACGCTCAGCCCTCACAGCACCATTCCGGACCCCACCTTCGGCTCCGAGCCGCCCCCCCCCCCCCCCATGGCCACTTCTCACCCGGCCAGTAAAACACATCATTCCATGACATTCATGTCTAATCTAAATCAATTCCCTCCTATTGAGATGTACACAGTATCGATGGGCCTCGAATACACCAACCAAAATCTTAAAGGTACTGCTCCCTGTAGACTTCAGTCATCTAGGCATCCTGAGATTCAGCTTCAAGAATTTCTTCACGGATGTATTCGATGTACTCGTTCAGTTTTGCACGGTTGACAGGTTCGTACTCGGCAGAATTTCCCCATCGCCTCTCCATGTGTGCAAGCCTCTCGCGCAAGCTAGCCTCAGTGCAGCCGTCGCATTTCTCGGGTATCCAGCCAGAACAGCAACCCGGCCAACAATGCCTCAGAACAGTCATCGGAGATTCAGGCCGCTTTTGATCCCGAGTTCGACTTGTTGTCCACCATTTAGAGTTGGGTAGATCCCGTACACGAGAGTGGCTGAAATCAATAAGCGTGATCTGCCATCCTTTCTTCGTGTTCTTAGTCACCATAAAGTTCCTGGGATGTTCGTCATCATTTATCACTCCGATAAAGCAGAGATGGCTCATGGCCTCCATAAGCCGGTCTAGCAGTTCCACCCGGATGTTAGGGGGGATTGTGCTTGCTTCTCCACGTTTTATAAGCGCCTCCATGGTATCACCAGGGATAAGTTCTTGTAAAATCAGGCAGACCTCGCGACGAACCGGCTTTTCCCTGCCAATAGGTAGAGGCAACTCGAGGAACCAACACCCGTAGAATTTGGGGGTATATTGCCCATTCAGGCCACTCTCCTCAATCCTCTTATATGCAGCCGCCTCGCATGAGTAAAAGCGCTCGGAATAGTATGTAGGCGGAAATCCATACTCGTTACATCTGGCAATCCCGACATAGAGGGGGTCGAAGATCTTGGCGACACGCTCCTCCCCATCCACGCGACACCGCACCACCTGGGCCAAGCAGTCGTTGCCGCACCGGATCTGCTGGGTAACTACCAGGTCATGCTTGACCTGGTCCTTGGGAGGAGTTTTTCCCCTTGGCTTCCTTGGCGGGTGCGCGAGGTACTGGGCGACAATGCCTTTAGGTGCGTGGTTACCAAAGGGCCACGGGTTCGGATTCCACTCCTTCGGATCCGGGTTGTCATATCCGTTGGTGTTGTCGAAGGGCGGCGGGGGTGTGTGTGGCTGAATCTCAAAGTGCGCGCCGCGCACATAAGGTAGAGGAGGTGGCTCAAGACTGGCACTTGGGGACCCTTTAGAACCTTTAGAAGATGAAGATGAGGGCGGAGTTGGGAAACGATGACTGGAGCCGGGCTGGGTCCCAGCAGCAGCGGTGGGCGTGACACGTGTGCCTTGTCCGGTGCCCATTGTGGCGGATTTGGGTTATGGGGCGTACAAAGGATGTCGGACTGTTTGTTGAAGAGTGTAATGGTGACTTCGTCGGGCTTGAATGTCACTGCAGACAGGCAACTACATATAGGTGCGACGAGGTTGGTGGGGTCGGGATCATCACAGAGACAGGTGGGCAGCTGGCTGTTATTTATGTACAGAGGAGCGTCACAGGCCCCAGCGTGATTACTTGAGCCGACGGCTGGGCCTTAGCATTCCAGGGCTAGCCGTTTGCACATATTCTCTGTAGGTCTATCAAGCCAACACCCTTGGAGATAGTATCCACTATTGGCTCGTTGGTTCACGAAACCACCTTTCCTGGTGGTGCCGGAACGGTCCCTCTGAGATGGCCCTCCATCTCATCAGCCTGTCCACAAAGTGGGCTTTGTGTGATAACTATGGGTACTGAGGGCGTGAGAATGGTCACCGTCCAACTGCTCATCACTGATTGTACGGCGGCGGCCCGTTACCATCGCCATGTTCTGATGGAACGCTACCCAACCACAATATTCTCAGATCTTGTCCGGGTTGGATAGTGCTGCGGCCGGGCTTCGTCGCGACCTTGATCAGAATAGAATCATTTCCTGCGAATTCCTTGAAGGCTCTCCAATGGCCGAGCGACCTGCATACGCGAGAACAGACCAAGGTGGTGATTTTATTTCTTCTCCATGGCGATCTCAGTAGTCGGTGGACACATCATCGGCTGCACATCAAAGCTTTCACTATGGTTCGCCATCCACCATGAAAGGAGTATATAAGAGTGCGCTTCCCCCATTGACAGACTCTTGAGCCTCTTTAATCATACAAAACATCATTACCCTTGAAGACATCTTCACGCCCCAGAAAACTTTCAAGCATTCTTTAGCACTCTACTCATCAATAAAATACAGGAAATTACTCTTGCGACCGCATTATCTTCGATTTACGCCTCATTCAACGAAAAAGTGCCTGTGTGCAAACCGTTCGGAATACAAAAAAACAATCGTACCCATAAGTCTGGCGTAACTACGGCGGAATGCACACCTCCCAGGTGCTCGATCGAGATACCTATGTCCCACTGGCACTATTTGGCAACGCGTTTGTGCCTTGAACCGCACAAAAACGAGCTCACTAACAAACCTGTCCCGGCAGTGGAGAAGCTCATTGGACTCAAGTCAGAAGGGGACGTTGTAAATGCATCCTCATTATATCTCACTCACCCTGTCCATGTTGCCTACCAGACGGTGCATCCAACCGATTGTTACCTCAACGAACTCACAAAAACCCGTCAGGACGGAACTTCCTCCAGCCGTGTCGACAGGGCCTATTTCTGGGGACCGCCGAACGATGACCTTCACCCAGGCGATTCAACCAATATATTTGCCGCGCTGGAGTACAAGAAGTCTGGGGCAATTAACAGGGCTCAATTCAGAAGAGGAAGAGTGACTGGCTATAACGCGTTTGACGATGCTCAACAAAATTCCCGCTATGTTGATCGGAACGAGGAAGATAACGTCATGGTGCTCCTAAAGCAGGCAGTCCACTATGTGTGGAGATATGAAACACCATTCGTTGCTCTATGCGACTACAAAACTTTGATCCTACTATATATGCCGAAACAAGAGACTAACAGTGGCGGACCGGTACGTACAGATGTTATGCCCACCACCGAGAGGCCCTGCTGATCCACGCTTCAGTACACCTATATGACCATAGTACAAGGGGAGACGAAAGACATGCGAAAAGCGTATCTGGGGTTTCTTCTAGCAGCCAGATTACATGCAGAGGGACACACATCATGGCGTCTGGATCAAGCCAGACAAGACCTCTTCTTGGAGGCGGGGCAATGGTGGCAGCAACGCGTGGCATCTGAGACTAAGAGAAACCCAGATCGGGCTGGGAGAAATCCAAACCCAGTTCACGATACCCCAAACAGCCAAGGCAGCGACGTCCCCATAACTAGGGTTAAGCGTGGTAGAGGTGATGCCATTCTCCTCCTCATTTCCTCTCTCGCCGAAGACCTGCCCAAGTGTGATCAGGCACCTGGGCATGCCGAAACCCTTACTAACGTGGCTTTTGTCTTGCTCCAGCACCCCTCGCAAATGCCCACGCAACGTCGAGGCAGAGCTCCACGTCTATGGCTTCGAGAGCCAACTCAGTCTCAGCAAGGAGCTCGAGCACCTCCTCCACAGCGAGCTCTATCTCCACGGCCAGCGGGACACCCGGTCCGAGGAAGCCAACTCAGAACACTGCGCATGCTGCCAGGGCTACGACGACCGCTACTCACCCTCCCAATGGTACAGCCACGAAGACTGCGACGACCGCTACTCACCCTCCTAACGGTACAGTTACGAACACTGCGGCGAACAATCCAGTTGCAGCCGGCACCAAGGCGAAAGCTTCCGCCAACTCCCATGCCACAAAGCCTGCTGGTAGTACCACGACGTCAACTCGATAAGGTCGATCGTGGTGGACACAAATTTATGATTCCACGACGGATTACATATGCTGGATCTTCTTTCTGTTTAGAAAAGAGTTGGGTTTGAACTATTAGATATAGCTAGACAAATAAAAAAACAGCTGGGTCTGTTTCAAAATTGCCACAGTCGTCAGATCTCTTGGGCGAGGTTTATAGTTAACTGTTCCCTATATATATAAGCTTTTTAAAGGTAATAGAAACATTAATATCTTTTTAATATTATTTAGATCTTTATTCTCTACCTTTATAAAAGAACTTTTTAGTAGTTTTATACAGCGCTATTATGTAGTATGAAAAAGCTTAGTGGGGATGGGTGTGGCAGGGCCTAGTAGAGAGTAGACACGGTTGCTAGAGGTGGTCAGCAGTAAGTAGAAGAAGGAGGAGATGGGGAAGGGGAAGGGGAAGGAGAAGGAGCAGGGAGAGCGACCGACCACGACCGCGGCCGCCTCAAGTACAGGACTCTGGCAGCTGGGCGGCAGGGCCTTGCCAGCAACCAGGTCAGAGGCTGCCGGGAAGCAGGCCCTCCTTCCCCGCCCGCGCGCAGCCATTATGCTGGCGGCAGGCGGGCATGTATATGGTGTGGTGACAATCGCGTAAAGTTGATCGGTTTTGAAAGGAAAGCAAGCTGGCTTGGAGTCTGTTAGGGCCGGAGGGCTGGTCAAGGTGATTTATCTACCAAGCGTCATGGAGCATCACGGAGTGGTGGGTGAGGCGTGAACGCATCAGAGGTGGGCGGCTGACTAACCCGTATGGGACAGGGCGGGCGGGAAACCACGAAAGACTACCTAGGTAGGCATCCTTAGGTTTATCTTGCTGGTGTCCTAACTTGGTTAATCAGTTGGGCCGCAATTATTCACGTATGCCTCACCCTTGCAAGCTCAGTGACGCTCACCACATACACCACCACCTTCAACTATATCCTACGACCACACCAACTATTGTATCTACCACTTGGAACTTTACGCAAACATCGCCATGCGCCAGCAATCAGTCATTATTACCAGGAACCGGGGTATGCGCGGGCGGGCTAATGGGCCCGTTTCCTGGCACCACCTGCCCAATCAATCCCTGGATGCTGGATGCCGTTGGGTGTCCGATGAAGTCTTGCAGATGCTCATCTGGCCCTGCACTTCAGACGGCGCGAAGTAGCAGCCTGGATCTTTCCTTCCCCCTTTCTTCCGTCCTACCTTCTGCATCGTCCACCTGTTTTGAACCGCCCAAAGCTACCCTCCCTATCTACAGACGCAAATGCGGCCACGTAAGATAACCAAGGACTTTTTCCGGAAGGGGAAAGAAGGGCTCTAAAGAATACTAGGAGGGGATAAATAGGTCTTCCAGCGCCAAGAAGCTTGCAAATAAGGTGAAAAAAAGACAGCTATAATGAAATGAGCTTCTATCTGCACTGGCAAGCGTTGTGCGGACCAGCCACTACAGCCTGACCACTCTTTTGGGATCAAACTTAGATCTATCTGGTTTGCGTGTCCACGACCATTTTGCTGGTTCCTGTGGGGTCTTAGGCCTGCTTCCAGGGAATACGTAACCCCGCTGATTGGCGATCAAGTGGACGCCACCAGAGAACAACTCCGTCGTGTGATGGGTGTGGCCGAAAACCCAGGTCTTCACTCTATCAGTGTCTAGCCTAGGTAGCAAGTCTGTCGCAAATGCTGGCGTCCACGGGTTGTCGGCATGCTCCGGGGCTGAGGTACCAGTCAAACTCGGGGCGTGGTGAGTTACAACCAATATGTTTCGGGCCTGTTGTTGATGGTTGAGCTTTGAAGCATCTGACAGCGACTGAAGCTCAGAGGCAAGCCAGGCAGCCTCTTCAACATGCCTCTCATTGTTCTTATCGACCGACCATCCGTCGATCTTTTTGTAATCGCCAACTTTGGACTCGACAATTGCTCTTGCAGAGTCAGGAATGAAAGACCATAAGGTGCAGCCCATAATGATTGACCCCGTCGTTTCATCAGTCCATACTCCTTGGTTCAAGAGAACTAGCTTCTCCTCGAGAGATGGCTCCTTTCCCAATTGCTTGGCCTTGGAAATGCCCTCTTCGTAGCTCATGCCGAAAAATTCGTGATTGCCTAGCACGAGGCCGACTTTTGCGAAGCGTCCTACTTGGCGCTCGAGAAAGGCCCGGTAACCTTCGTAGTCGATTAGCCGACCAATGTCGCCAGCCAAAATCAGCAGTTTCCCGGCGGCGGGGAAGTCGAATGTTTGATACTGTTGCCCGACTTCGAGATGGAGGTCAGACATGATCTGAACCTGGGGACCGCGTCCTGGACTAAGCGCGTCTAGCAACCGCGGGACGATATTTTGATGGGCTGGCATGTTTGCCCCTTTGTACAAGAAAGTGAGAAGTCGTCACTTGGCATACAAGACTTGATGCGGCTTGCGGGATGTAAAAGTGTCGTTCTTCTAGCTCTCGTGCTGGGATTGCGGGCGTCCCACAGGATTGTTTTAGTGCAGGAATGATAATAGAGGGTGCAGAGAGTGAGTAGAGTAGAAGTAGCTACCGTGTTTGTGTCGCAGTGGATTGGATGCGGTTATAACTACGCCTACTCGGGCTAGAAAGCGACAGAGCGTACGTGATAGGATAGTGTGGTGCGGGCAGGGGCGGCCAGTCCCCTAGGGGCCCAAAATAGGCAAATTTTAGCTCCATAGACAGACTTAGACTTATTTAAGCAATATACACCCCAAATACCCCATTCTCCAAGCACTATCTACAGTGCATATACTCTCTTTATATAAGTTGCATTATTTTATAAAGGCTTTGCTAAAACTTGCATTAAAAAAGCTTATTTTTTAATTTAAATCTTAAAGTTAAAGTTAAATATAAGCTAAATAGCTTATATAATAAAAGTAAATTAACTAAGCCTTTAAGTAAAGATAAATTTAAAGCTTTCATTATTAAAATAACACTATGTTGCCTTTATATTATTATATTAATTAAATTATTAAATTCCTTAAATCCGCCTACTTTATTTTCTTTATTTTTATATATTTTTAAGTTATAATAATAAAATTTTGCTTAATTAAATAAATATCTTTTCTTTAAATAATAAATTTATATTTAAAAATTATAATTTAAAGGTATAAATTAATAAATTAATTATATTTACTTTATATTTTAATTTATAATTTCCTTAAAAATCTTATTAATTAAATAAATAAAAATTATTAACTTAAATTTTAAATTATTATTATTAAATTTAGCTTTAAAATTAAAAAACTTAATTTTAAAGTTAGCTTTTTTATTATTATAAAGAAACTTTAAATTTATTTAAATTTAAATAAATATTTTTAAAAATAATTAATTTTAAATTATATTAAATAATTTAAATTTAAAACTTTTTTATTATATTTATTAAAACCCTTAAATATTTTTACAATAATTATTTCTTTTTTAATTAATTTTTTTAAAAAGTTTTTAAGTAAAAGCTTAAAGAAATATATTAATAATATAAAGTTATATAACTTAAAAATAATGCTTAATAATAAAGCTTTTAAAGTTTAAGAAATAATAATAACTTTTTATTTTAATTTAAAAAAAGTAATTAAAATTAATTAATACTTAAAGCTAGCATTAAATAACTAAGCTTAATTAAAGGTTTTTAGTTTTTTAAAAAATTATATTTTAATAAAAATTATTAACTTAAATTATAAAGTTAAAACTTAAATGTTAAATGGCCTTTGCCATATGGCTAATATATGTACATACGTGATTATGCAATTGCGTTTGTATTCGTTGTGTTTTCTAGCTAATTATTAAAACGACGGCTTTTGCACGGTAGCCAAATAAGGCCACCGTACTAGTTGGACGGGATGACTAAGCTCGTCCTATTAAGGGGATAGCGTATGGTTTAATGAAGTGTTATTTTAATATTAAATGTATATTTTTATTTATAAATTTATAAAATTAATTTTAAAGTATATATAATATATTATTAATTTATTTTATTAATATAAAAAAAACTTTAAAAATTAATACATTAATTTATTTTTTATTTATTTAATTAAAAAATAATACGCTTTATAATAAAAGTTAAGAAATTTAAAAATTAATTATAATTTAATTATATATAAATAAAGAATAAAGAATTATAATATTTTAATAAAAACAACTATATTTTATAAAATTTATTAATATATTATTAATTATTACATTTTATTTAATATTAAAATAAATTATTCTTTAAAAAATAAAGTAATAAATAAAGTTTTTTTAAATTAAAATTAAGTTATAAATTAAATAATAAATATTATAAAAATAATATATAATTAAATTATAAAGATATAATTAATATTAAGCTTATTAATATATTTTATTATTAATTAAAGATTTAATTATAATTATTAAAACAGCTTTATATATAAAAAATAATATTATAATTAAGTAAAGAAATAAAGTTTAAATTTTGCATTGCCTTTTCTTTAAGAAAAAAGAAAATAAGGCTTAATAAGCCTTTATATATAATCCTTATAGCTATATATAAAAAATGTAAATTATATTTTAATATTAATAGTTTTTATCTTTAAAGAAATAAGTATATTTACTTTCGTTCTTATTCTTTTATCTTTATATAAAGCAATTCCTTCCCTTAAGCCTCCTTAATTTAAAATAAATATCCTCTTTTAAGTATTTTTAAAATATAGAGAAAAAAATAGCTCCATGCTAAGAAAAAAGGAAAGAGGTTTTTAAGTACCCTTTATATTTACATTCCCTGCTTTTTATTATTCTTTATATAATTATAATAATTACCCGGTTAAATACTTATTTTTATCTTAAGCTTTTTAAATTATTATACGCAGAGTTGTGAAATACAAACTAAATACAAGATACAGATACAAATACAGATACAGATACAAAAGAAATACAAAATACAAATACAAATATAGATATAAAATACAGATACAAATACAGATATAAATATAAATACAGATATAAATATAGATACAAATACAAATACAGATACAGTATTTTATATTTATATTTATATCTATATTTATATTTATATTTATATTTATATTTATATCTATATTTATATTTATATTTATATTTATATTTATATTTATATTTATATTTATATTTATATTTATATTTATATAATTAAAAAGATAAAAGAAATTTAAAAAATTAAAAAGATGTAAATAAATAACTAAATAACTAAATAACTAAATAACTAAATAATTAAATAACTAAATAACTAAATAACTAAATAACTAAATAACTAAAAAACTAAAAAACTAAATAACTAAATATGAGGAGGGCTATAGTTGCTATGGCGACCCTTATTAACATGCTACCAATGCATATAAATTTGCCGCTAAGAAATATAAACCTTTTTATAATTTAGGCATAAAAAACAAGTTAAAAATCCCTTAGAATTACCAAAATACTATTAAATAAATTAGTTATATTAATATATAAATATTTAGGGTTAGGGGAAAAAACTTACATTATATTAAATAGCATAACCATAGGTATAATTTACTAAATTAATAAATTCTTAATGGGGGTAATTTAAAAGAAATTATCTTTAAGCTAAGTTAAAAGGAATTTCCTTTTAAATTTCCTTTTTTAGTTCTCTTAAAATTAAGCAGCAATTTAAAATATTATTAGTATTTAAATATATTTTTATAAAGTTAAAGTATTAATTACTTTTTCTTATTAAATAAGGGTAAGTTTATTAAGATATATTTAATATAATTATTTCTTAAAATTATTATTTAAATTTTATTTTAATAAATTTAATATAAAAATATATATTAAAAAAAGTGTATTTTAAAGGTATACTTACTTTAGGAATAGGGTTAATATTTATAAAGTTAAACCCTAGGAAAGCTGGGCCTTGAAAAGCAAGGGGCTTAAGGTTTAGAATTTTATTAAAATTGGAAAGAATATTATAAGTCTTTAAAAAAAATATTAATAAATAAAGTAAAAAAAGGGCTTTTAAATAATATATAGCTTACTTAGAAATGTAGATGCTTAGGGTTATATGCAAGGCTTAAAAGCTTAGGGCTTAAGAAAGAAGGAGAAGGAGGAAAAGGGGGTAAGTTAAGAAGCTAAGAAATATTCATATATATTTTATTAGAATTTTTTAATAAATCTTACATTAATATTTAACAATATAAAAGTATTTTTACTACCTTTAAAAATAGGGTTCGTTAAAGGGAAAGGCTAAATATTTATTAATAAAGAAAAGAGTTAAAAATAAAATAAGGAATACTTATAAGGTTATTTAATTAAAATAAAGGGTTATAAGGATTATATAATATATTTTTATACCTTTTAACCTTAGAATGCCCTTAAAAATTATTAGAAAAAATCTTATTATAAATAAAAGAAAGATAAATAAATAAAATAAAAGGGGAAAAAAAATATATATATATATATAAAATATAGTAAGTTATTTGGGTTATATAGCATATTAATTATATTAGGGGTAATATTTAGGTTTTAAAAAAGGTATTAATAAAATAAAAAAAAAGAACTAATTATAGGTAGGTTATTAATTAAAGAATTAATGAAGAAGGAAAAAGCAAGCTTAAGAAGCTTAGCTTAGGCTTTAAGGGTAATATAAGAAGACATAGTAATAATAAAGTGAAAAAGGGGTATTTTTAGGGTATTAAAAGTAAATATTTAGCTAGTAAATAATAAATAAGAATAGGTATAAGTAAATTAAGAAGAAAAAAAAATAAAAGATATAAGTAGGAAAGATAAACGTATTTATATTTATTTATATTTAAATGGCTTATTATTAAAACTAAATAATATTATATTTAAAACGTTTTAAATTTAAGGTTAGTTTTAAATTTAAAATATTTTAGCTTTAAGGTTAGTTTTAAATTTAAAATGTTTTAAATTTAAAACGTTTTAAAATAAAGCTAATTTAAATAAAGAATTAAATGAGGAATTAAATGAGGAATTAAGTAAGGAATTAAGTAAGGAATTAAGTAAGGAATTAAGTAAGGAATTAAGTAAGGAATTAAATAAGGGATTAAATAAGGGATTAAATAAGGGATTAAATAAGGGATTAAATAAGGAAATATATAAGGGATTAAATAAGAGATTAGATAAAAGATTAAATAAGGAATTAAATAAGGAATTAAATAAAGAAATAAATAAGGAAATAAATAAGGAAATAAATATATATATATAATTATTTCCTTATTATTAAATTTCTTTTATTACTTTAATTAAGAAATTATTAATATTAATATAAGTATTAATATAATTTAATTATTATATTATA